TGGCCCCCTCTTCTCTTCTCTTCTCTTCTCTTCTCTTCTCTTCTCTTCTCTTCTTTCTATTCTCTATCATCTCTTCTCTCTCTATTCTATTCTATTCTATTCTATCTATTTCTCTATTCATCTATCTCTCTCTCTCTTCTCTCTCTTCATTCTATCTCTCTCTTCTGATTCTATTCTATTCTATTCCTATTCCCATTCTCTTCTCTTCCTTCTCTTCTCTTCTATTCTATTCTATTCTCTTCTCTTCTCTTCTCTTCTCTTCTATTCTATTCTATTCTATTCTATTCTATTCTATTCTATTCTATTCTATTCTATCAAAACTGCCCAAGAAGTGAAGAAAGCACCTTTATCCTGCATTACCATAGACTAGTCACTTATCTGAAATGTTACAGGACAGTTTCTCCTGCTTGACCAGGGGGCTGGACTAGAAGACCTCCAAAGTCCCTTCCAGTTTTATTCTCTTCTAATGTGCCATTTATCCCTCCCTACCAAAAAACAAAACAAAACACCACCATCTTCTCTTAAAAACTACATTGCCCAGAATTCCCGAGACAAAAGCGTCAAGGTGGCCACTCGACTTGGCCAATCAGCGAGCGCGGAGCAGACCCTTCTGACGCTTCCATCCTCTTGGCCGCGCCCCTAGAGACCGGCCCACCAATAGGGGCGCGCGGAGGCTGCTTGGAGGCGGGGCTGAGGGAAGCGGGAGAGGCCCCGGCCAGCTGGGCGGGAGCTGCGGAGGAGCTTGCGGGCGAAGACCCCGATGTCTCTGGGGAGGAGCTGCGGACGGAAGCCGGTGGGGCTGGTCGGCGGACGCGTGGGAAGGCAAGGTTAGGGGGAAGGGAAGGGAAGGCCGCTCCAATGGCTCGAAGCAGCCACTTCCTCCCCCATCAGGCGCCCCGGGGGACTACAATCCCCATGGTCCCCAGCCAGATCTGGAGGAAGGGCGTGCGAGAGCTTTGCAGGCTGGGAATGAAAGGACTTGCTTTCCCCCGGGGGGGAGATGCCAGCCGTCCTCAATTGCATTGCATCCCTCTGTTGGCTGGGAAGCATGGGCTTTGTAGTCCCGGTGCATCCGGAGGCGTGTCCAGGTGTGTCTTTTTACTGCATTGATTGCAGCCTTTACCTGCTTCAACCGGGTCTGCATGGTTAACTTCCAGTGCATTGGGGTGGGGTGGGGTGGAGGGGGAATGCTGCAATTTTGGCACCAAAAAAAAAAAAAAAAAAGAATGGGATGGAGAGATCTGAATTCAGATCCTGGGACTCGAACCCAAGATTTATGTTCTCTGTTAGACTAGCTAGCCTGTTTCCTAAAATGCTGGGAATTGGGTGGCCTAGGAGGTTTTAATGTATTATTACGATGATTACGGTTGGTTGCATAGTCAAGCCAGATGTTCAGACGGGATTTGGCATTCCTGTCCACCTATGGAAGCCTTCCCAAAGACCTGGGATGTTTAAGAGAAAGTTGCAATTCAGCATCCCAGCAGAGATTTAGAGCGTTAACAGATCAAAGGGACCTTTGTAGGTCATCTAGTCCAACCCCCCACCCAAGCAGGAGACCCTACACCATTTCTGACAGATGGCAGTCCAGTCTCTTCTTTTTTTTTTTAATTTTTTTTTTAATTTTTTAATTTAAAAACATAAACATAAAATACAATCTTTTAAGAACGAAGCATTGATCCGGTCAAGAATAAGTACAATCGCTTTCTCCTCTTTATTGAGCTCATTCCCAAATCTCCACCATTGCATCTTTCAAAATAAAAACCAAAACAAATTTTTTCCCCACAATTATAATATCTTAATCTAAACATTTACCTATTATATCACCACAATATTTTTTTTTTTTAATTTTGATTTATATGCCGCCCTTCTCCGGAGACTCAGGGCAGCTTACAATGAGTTAAGCAATAGCCTTCATCCTTTTGTATATTTATACAAAGTCAGCTTATTGCCCCCACAAACTGAGTCCTCAATTTACCCACCTTAGAAAGGATGGAAGGCTGAGTCAACCTTGAGCCTGGCGAGATTCGAATTTACAGTAATTGCAGGCAGCTGGTCTTAATCACAATGCTATCAGTCTGCTGAGCCACCAGGCCCTTTCCTGGTGCACCCCCCCCCCACACTCCCAGCCTCCGTGCATGCGCGGCAGAGACCCAAAAGACCAGCTTGCCGGCGGGAGGCACGCATGCCTGCGCAGCAGAGCTGAACTGGGGCAATGGCTCATGTGCCACCTCTGGCATGCGTGCCATAGATTCGCCATCATGGCCCTATACCATTTCTGACAAGCGTCTTATCCAGTCTCTTCTTGAAAGCCTCCAGTGATGAAGCTCCCACAACTTCTGAAGGCAACTTCTGTTCCATTGTTTGACTGTTCTCACTGTCAGAAAATTTCTCCTGATTTTTAGATTGAATTTCTCCTTTGATCAGTTTCCATCCATTGTTCCTTGTCTGGCCTTCGGGTGGCTTTGGAGAATAGCTTGACCCCCCCTCCTCTCTGTGGCAGCCCCTCAAATATTGGAAGACTGCTATCCTGTCTCCCCTGGTCCTTCTCTTCACTAGGCTAGCCATGCCCAGTTCCTGTTGTTTGATGTCTATGGAGATTCTCAGTCATTCAGGTCAAAGGGGCTCTTTTCAAGAGGCAACTGGACTTTCGGGTTTTTTCTTTGAAGACGTTTTGCTTCTCATCCAAGAAGCTTCTGAGCTGAAGAAGCTGCTTGGATGAGAAGCAAAATGTCTTCAAAGAAAAAACCAGAAAGTCCAGTTGCCTCTTGAAAAAGCCCCTTTGGGACAGGTGTTGTTTGACGATGTTAAAGATATTGTCGCAGGATGCAAGCTGTTTCATGTAAAGCTGCCTTTTTGCAATTGACTGATGGGGATGTTTGAAGCGCCACAGCAAGAGTTTAAACAGTTTTTTGCCGCTCTGCCACCACCGAGAGCATCGGAAACCGCTTTCAGGCAGCTTGGCCTCAATTGCCAATCTTCCACCACCGAGCGGTTTACAAGGAGCGGATCGGTTCTAGCCGATCAGTTGGGAGGCTTCTTGGCTTCTCAATTTAAAGCTACGGTGTCTTGTTTTTTTTTTCTTCTCTTCTTTGTCAAGTGAGCCCTGATTTCCTTCTAGCCGATCAACTGGGACTCGGGAGGCAGCGAATAGATTGGGGGCAGGGCCAGGCAGAGATAGTATTTACCGGTTCTCCAAACTACTCAAAATTTCCACTACCGGTTCGCAAGAACCGGGGAGAACCAGTAGCAACCCACCACTGAGTAGTGGCCAAAATTGTGGAAAGGTTTCCACAATTTTGGCCACGACTGTATGCTACTACATTCTGAGCAAGTACGGTTTCCAAAAACTTTCATATGGAGCATGTTGTAGTAATTTTATGTAGATATAATCTGATTGGAATGTCAAGTTTGATATCCTGACCCTTTTTTGATGAGGTTTAACAATGCAGGATAAAACTCTAAACAGTATATAGTGTGAACGCTGAAACTTTGGTATTCTTGGCATGAGAATTGGATAGTTAAACTTGTTCCTATTTTAATCTGCGAAGAGTGCATGGCATCTCTCTGAAATCAGACTCCGAGGATGGGAAAGACTTTAATACTAAATGTGCTACCCTTAATCTTTGAACTCATTATCAGTATTAGGCTATACAAATATTTCTATGTAAGACCAGAGTTACCCAAAAATTAAATTATTGGGGTTTTAAATTTGTTCAGCCAAATTATTTAATTCGTTTCATTTTATTTTAAATTTTGTATTTATATGTTTTATTCTATGGCTGTTCACCGCCCTGAGTCCTTCGGGAGTAGGGCGGTATATAAATTCAATAAAATAAATAAATAAAATAAAATAAATACATTTTACAAATAAATGAGTCTGGAACTTAGTTAAAACAATGGACAGTTGAGGAGAGTTTCTGATCCTCCCTTTTCTCTCTCTCTCTCTTTCCATTCCTTCCTCCCTCCCTTCCTTTTTTCTCTTTCCCTCCCTTCCTTTATTCTCCTTCCTTCCTTCCTTTTCTTTCCTTCCTTCCTTCCTTCCTCCCTCCCTCCTCTCTCTCTCTCTCTCTTTCCCTTCCTTCCTCCCTCCCTCCTTCCCTCCTTCCCTCCCTTTTTCCTCTTTCCCTTCCTTCCTTTTCTCTCCTTCCTTCCTTCTTTCCTTCTTTCCTTTTCTTTCTCTCCTTCCTTCCTTCCTCCCTCCCTCCCTTTTCTCTCTCTCTCTCTCCTTCCTTCCTTCCTTCCTTCCTTCCCGTATTGATGCTGTTCAACACAGTGTAGTAAATGCTTCCTGTGCTTTTAATAAGCCACCCCAAATTCCAATACATGATAGCCGCAGGATAAGCAGGGTACATTTTTTTGAACTTTACATTGTGAATGCTGGTAGCAAAGAAAAAAAAAATAAATAAACAGCTGTGCAACGGGTATTTCCTGCAACCACCCAAATCCCGTTTTCTAATTTATGCTAAACTTTGCGCATCTGTTGATCCGTAGAGCTGGATTTCTCGTGCCCGTTTTCCACTCCAGGGGTGTCCTTTTGGGGGGCGGCGGCATGCAGATTCCCAGTTTTGAATGCTGAATTTGCACATTTTAAATTCGGTGAACTGAATATTGAATTTCACCCTGAGAAGGCGTGGGTTCTTCGGGCTGTCAAGCCGGGGTTTAACTTGTCTGTTAAAACGACTGCTTCCCAGATGACCGAGCAAGATCGGGGCTTGCCAGCTGCGGTTCTATCTTTCAACAATTTTGAGGCCCGAAACCAAATCCTTTGCAGATTCACAGATGAGCATGCTGTTAATTGCATCGCCACCTGCTTTCTTGAGTGTCTTCTCCGCAATAGACCAGGACTCAAGTCTGCGAAGTATCACGGATTGATAAATGACAAGGACAGGTGCAGAACTGGGCAGCTGGTCAGTTTAAAAAAAAAAAAAAAGTCTCCGGCCTCCTGCTCTTTAGCATCCCGGTGTTCCCAGTTGGCTGCTATCGTTGTGGCTTTATTGACGTTAAGCTCTCCTCTTGTTACTCTTATTCCTGGCACTTGGGTTTTTTTCTTTAGAGAGACTTGTTGTGGGATCCGAGGGTTTGCCGTGTGGGACTTCTTGGGTGATGTTTTGTGTGTCTGTTGAATATATTGCAAAATCTTCGCTGGGACTGAAGGGTTCGCTTGGCCCCATGTTTGTGGTGCAGTTCACAGGTAAGGGTGTGAATTCTGGAAGACGGTGAGATCGACAACTCAGGAAGTCTTTCTCGCTGAAAGGTTGGTTTTTCAGCAATACTTATCAAGGGCTGGCGATGTTAAAGCCACGTAAAAAAATCAGCATTCCACGTAGGCCCTCGAGGGTAATGCTTAGTCTTTGATCCCTGATCTTTTATTCTCAGATTACATGCATTTTGCAAGGATGCCACTTAAAAGGTGACATTGTTAAATTAAATCTGCACTCGATTAAATTGGTTAATTACGCCATCCCGAAGGCAGAGTTCTCCTCTTTTAACTTTCTAAATCAGTCCTGGATTTACAGAGAGGGTTTTTATCTTCAAAAGAACGTTCTTAACTTCGTTTTTATTTTATTTTTGGTCATCGCCTTTTACATTTCCTGATTCTTTGTGCCTGGGAGATGTGTGTCAGGAAGGGATTTAAAATCCCTTTTACCTGTTTCTCGGCACTGATTGATGTTGGGTGGAAGATATTTCAAGATTGTGGCTTGAAGCGCAGGGAACTGAAGGAAGTAGGTAATTGGGGGATTTTAAACTTTCAGTTTTCAACGATTGAGAAATAAATACCGTAAAAAGCTCGGCTTTCCTTAAATCACTCCTATTGAAAACTAAGCTCTGTATTTTATGCAGTAGGCCATGGAAATGCTCTATGACAAGACATATATCTTGTCTTCTACAAGGTATATCTTCTATAAGATATATCTCTGTAGAAGATATATAGTTATTTTACAGGGATCCGTAATTTGAAGGCTGATTCCATTCTTCACAAACTTGCTGCATGAATATGGTAGGATTTTTTTTCTCTGTGAAAATCTTCCGCTGAGTGTTTTGATGGCAGGCGATAAACCCTGTAGATTTACGGATTCTAAAATATGTAGTTAAAATCTCCTAAGGGTGGGGGGGGAGGGGTTTAGCTAGCTTCTACAGGTTCAATCTAAGTCAATACTCTATGTACTTCGATTAATTTAGAATTAGCATGATATGTGATACCAGTCGCTGTGGTTGGTAAATCATGACTTCTGGCTTAATTATGGGTTGCATCTAACTACCATAGTTTGTTCAACAAACTATATTTAAACCCAAAAAGCGGAATGCCGTGTCAACTCCACCTTAGTCTGTAGACTATTCTTGTTCATTATAAGATCTTCTGGCTGAAAAACGTAGAGAGCAGCAAAGTGGTAATAGAAATCCAAAGAGCAGCCTGAGCATAAATGTATATTTTTTCTTAAGTCTTGTTCTGATGCACACAATGTCTGAAAGATTTTGATAAATACTAAAAGAGTAAGGCTTTTCAAGGGAAATTGCAATAAGTAACATTCCACTTCAGAAGGTTCTCTCCAGTAAAATACAAATCTCCCTAAATTTACTGGATTTTACTCCCACTTATCGCAAGTACGTGATATCAGTTTTAGCTCTTGGCCAAGAAAAGAATGTAAGAAAGCTACGAAGGTGATATGACAAATGTTCCTTGCTGAAAATATTTTTAGAAGCACCAGTTATTCCGACTTGTCATTTATCACTGATTTATATTTTTGCCTCAGGGAATATCAAATTTAGCTGTCAAAAAAATTGCTGAATTAGAGGCAGATGCCGTGTCGCACTACCATGCTGATTTGTGCTAAGAATACAATTCTCAGATGCCTGGACAGTACAACCACCAACTGATCCAAGAAAAATTTCTTTTCCAGTTGGCTTTTACTGAGGGGAAAAAAAACCCTTAAGGGAAATTCATCCTTCTACCTCTCCCAATTTCTAAATATTCTAGTTCCGTGATGGCAAACCTATGGCACGCGTGCCACAGGTGGCACGCAGAGCCATATCTGTGGGCACGCGAGCGTTGCCCTAGCTTAGCTCCAGCACGCATGCACAAGCCGACCACCTGATTTTCGGCCTTCCGGGCCTACCGGAAGTCAGGAAATGGGCTGACTTCCCACCGGAAATCAGGAAATGATGCAATGAATGCATCATTCCAGAGTAAGGACAACGTTGTGGGCAACGTTGCTGTTGTGGCCCATTAGCGGCCTGTGCAGTTAGTAGCTGATTCCGACAGTGAGGAGGCTGGTGTGGTGCTGTGCCAGCAGCCTGTGCAGCTGTCACTCGAGTCAGACAATGAGGAGGCTGGAGAAGATGTGGTGCCAGAGGCGGGGATTCAGCCAGGGCCTTCAGAACCTCCAGAAGCTCCCTTAAGTGAAGAGGAAGAAGAGGAGGAGCCTCTTCTCGATGCACGGGCATGCAGAGCTGCCAAAAGGCAGGAGTGGCTATTCAGGAGGGGGGTCTCCTCGAGAGTAAGGCTTGGGGCTAATTGGCCACTCCCTTAGCCTATTTAAGGAAGGATGATGACTGAGACAATTTGCAGGGAACAACTTCGTTCACTCTCCTTCGCGTCTGGATCTTAGTTCTCTTATCAGTTTCCTGCAAATTGCTTCTGGGCTTTCTGCCAACCATAGTAAGATTACGATTATTTATTCTTTGGATTCTTGTAGGCTGTTAAGAAAGTTAATTAACAGCCTTTGTTTGAAAAAGACTGATTTAATTTAGTAAACTAAGGTTTGTACAGACTTCGTGTGTGCTGCGTTCTTTGGGGTCCGTAGCTGGTGCAGAACAGTTGGTTACAAGTTGGGTCATTCATTCTAACCCCTCTCTGTTCTTTGCGAGAAAAGCGACAGTGGCTTCCTCCGTTCCGATTCCATACGGGAAGCAAAGGCTCCATTATTACAGTAAATGTTTATCATTCTGAAGTGCCTAAATCTTTCCAACCATTCCAGGCATGGGTGAGGTTCGTTACTGCTACTCTCTCTCGAGGGCTTCGGGATTAGTATGGTGTGACCTGACACCGTCCTGTAAGAATTCTGTCAGCAAGAGGCAGGTTTGTTTCGAGATGGGACTTGACAGCAGGGACCTCTCCACAGGACATCATTTCAGTAGATCCCAGGAACTGATCGAGAATGCCCATTTATCCAGACACCTCCTCTGGCATTGGTGGTCTCTGAGGTACAAGCTTCATTAAGGAAGCGTTCTTGTAGCTTTCAAAGCTTTGCAGGATTGGCCAGGCTGTGGCCCTTAACGTCGTACATTGGCTAAGTTAGAGGTGTTGTTGGAGATATCCAGTGGTGGGTTGCTACCGGTTTCCCCCGGTTCGCGGCGAACTGGTAGCAGCAGTGGCGGGAGGCTCCACCACCTGCCCGGACGTCATCAAATATGATCTGTGCCTGCGCAGAAGCTTCTGTGCATGCGTAGAAATGGTGCACGCGCGAGCGAACCGGTAGCAAAGGTAAGTGAAACCCACCCCTGGAGATACTCCAAGTTCAAGTGCGATAAAAGTTCCAGAGTTCCATTTCAGGGGACTCGTGCAAAAGGCTGCAAGACAAAAGTGGACTTTTTTGCCCATTCATGAGTGAGTTCTTAAAACATTCAACAGGAACTAAACAAAGAGAATAACAGATTAACAAATGAGTTGGAAGGGACCTTGTAGGTCATCTAGTCCAACCCCGCCTCCGCCCAAGCAGGAGACCCTACACCATTTCTGACAAATGGCAGTCCAGTCTGTTCTTGAAAGTTTCCAGTGATGAAGCTCCCACAACTTCCAAAGGCAACTTCTGTTCCTTTGGTTGATAGTTCTCACTGTCAGAAAAAATCTCCTTATTTCCAGGTTGAATCTCTCCTTGTTCAGTTTCCATCCATTATTCCTTGTCTGGCCTTCGGATGCCTTGGAAAATAGCTTGACCTCTTCCTCTCTGTGGCAGCCCCTCAAATATTGGAAGACTGCTATCCTGTCTCCCCTGGTCCTTCTCTTCACTAGACTAGCCGTGCCCAGTTCCTGCAACTGTTCGTTGTATGTTTTAGCCTCCAGTCCCCTAATCCCCTTAGTTGCTCTTCTCTGCGCTCTTTCTAGAGTCTCAGCATCTTTTTTATAATGTGGTGACCAAAACTGGATGCAGGATTCTAGGTGTGGTCTTACTAAGGCTTTATAGAGTGGTATTAGTACCTCCCTTGATCTTGATTGTATCCCTCTGTTAATGCAATTTAGGAGAAGGGCGGCATATAAAAATAAATAAAAATAAAAATAAATAAATAAAAAATATTGCTAAGCCTATTTTTTCCATCTCTCTTAGGGCTAAACCAGCTGCCCTCTGACCTTGGTAGCAGTTACCCCCTGCCACCCAACAGCAGGGCAGGATTTGCTGAAAATGGAGAGAAGAGAAGCCAGAAGCAGAAGAGAATTAATCTGCTGCCAGGTAAGCTGGTAAATTGGGCTGCCTGTTTGGGGGAATATAGAAAATGAACTGAGCTTGTTCCTTGGAGGGATTTGATAGCGAAGTGGGGAGATCTAAGGAACACAACCAACACCCTTCTCAGAATTGGGAGCAGGGGGAAATCTTGGTATTTCTAGCTCATTTGCTGCCTGAATTCTGAGATTTCTGTTGCTGCTCGTCCGTTAGGTAGAAGTCAACAAGGTAAAACTTTGTCCATGCTTGAGTCTGTATACCTGGGTTTATTTGGATTAGTCAGTTTGATCAGCTGAGTAAAATCGAAGGATTTGTGATCCTTCCCCTCCTGTGGAAAGACCCTCAAAGTGCTACAGAGAGCAGCTACTGTTGGTGCCATGAAGTAGGAAAGGAGAAAGTAGGAAAGGAGAAATAGAAGAAACTGTAATTGTCTAATAAATTGCCTCCAGAAATCTTGGGCGCTCCATTACTGGAGGTTTTTAAGAAGCAACTAGACAGTCACTTGTCTGAGATGGTATAGGCTGGACTAGAAGACCTTCCAAGGTCCCTTCCGGCTCTGTTCTGTTCTAAAGTATCGTAAGCTGATATCAAGTTGGCTGCTACAGAAGAGTTGATTGGAGAAGACAGTTCCTTGGTGGTTCAGAATAGGTTTGTGCTACATATCTGATCTTGCATATATTAACCGCAACTAGAATTGTATTTGCGCAACAATGGAAAAATGATGAGATTCCGTCTGAGGGGAATGTAAATAAGAAAATATTAGAATGCGCAGAAATGGATAGACTAACGCTTACTATTAAGGATAAAGAAGAAACTGAATATTTTTTTGGTATGGGACATATTTTATCAATGGCTAGACAACAGAAACAGAAGTTAGAAAGGAGGCGATATAAAAAGAGGAAATGCTAAAGTGGAGAGTTGTTAAAGAAGACGATGTTAAGTGTTAAGTATTAATGTTATTATATTATTATACTATCAATACTTTGGTGATGAATACCACAGCAAATATGTGTATTACGACTGTTTAAACATAACTACCCAGGCCGCACGCTGTTTGATGGAAATTGAATCTTATATAAATAAAACAAATAAAACATTAAAAAAAAGAAGAAGAATGGGTTTGTGCAGTTCTCCAAGGAGATGTGTTCTTATGGCCAGATGGAAGCAGGAGTCCAAAAATAATCCGAAGATCACTGGAGTTTCCTTTGTGTAGTAGCCCTTTAGGATGTAAAACGTATGGGCCAGAGCGTTGTGGTCCACCAGCAGCCTGCGCAGCTGGCAGCAGATTCAGACAGTGAGGAGGCTGGGGAGGAACATGGGCCAGTCCTGGAGTCTGGGGAAGGCTCAGACGAGGGCTCTGCGTCGGAGGCAGAGATGGGGCCAGGGCCATCTGGGAGTTATGTGCGGACTCCGCAGCCTCCAGAGTCGGACATCAGAGAGGCAGAGGAACAGGGGGAGCCTGTTCCTAGTGCATGCATGCGCAGAGCTGCCAGAAGGCAAGAACAGTTAAAACAAAAGGGACGACTCAGGAGTAAGGCTTGGAGATGATTGGCCCCTCCCATAAAACATAAAGGAAGAGCAAAGGCACGTGGGCCTTTGCAGGAAGCAACATTGTGGATGGTGTTGGTTTGTACTTTGAAGCTCCGTTTTTGACTCTGTGTTTCTGTGTGGCCTTGCCAAGATAATTGCCAATTAAGTCTTTGGCAGCGTGTCAAAGAAGATAAAGGTGGGTGTTTACCAGCCTTATCCCGAAGGACTGTGGCAGACTTCTGTTGGACTCTTTATAAACTCTTGGTGATTCAGCACGTGCTGTGAATGAAAGGAATTCACAGCCGTTAAAATTAAAAAAGGGGTTTGGGATTAATTGTGTGCTTTTTACTATATCAGGAAGCCTAGGTCAGAACACAAGAGATCTGGAGGGCAAACCCTGACCTGATGTAGCCCTGAGCAAAGTTTCAAGTCCTCAATGTTTTCTCTTCACTGTTAAACAAGACGAGAACCATGCTAAGAATAAGGGGAAGAAACAGAAAAACATTTTCCTGACGAAGGCAAGAAATTTGTACTGTTGTCTTGTGGTTGAATGACGCCACAGCAACTTGTCTCCCTTTCCGTCCCTTGATGAGTTTGAATTTATGTTACCGTGGGACGGAGATGTTCTTACTCTGTTCTTAATCTGGGTCTGTTTTTCCGATCAGGAATTTGGCAAGCAAGAACCCTTCTTTAAGGGAATTTTGCCAAATGGCTTCCTGGGTGCAAATAACATATGGCACCACACCACTCTGGACCATGGCCTGCGTTTTAGGGGGTTGTGCGCCTGCCAGTCAGGGGATCATTAGAAGCAATGAGGTGCCCGCACTTCTGTTTATTTTGTAAACATCTATTTTGAGCTCGAAACCTTGACACCTTGAGTTCTGGCGTTGCGAAGACCATGTCCTTATTCGAGGCAGGTGGGGGCGTATATTTTCCATTGAGATCTCAGGGCGTAAAGGACTTCAAATCTCTTGTTACATCCTGTTCTGTAATTGGAATTCGCTCCTACTCTTTATCCAAATAATGTTTTTTTCTCTGGCTCCCATCGCATATCCTCCCCCAAAGAAAGATACCAGTTAAAAAAAAAAAATCTTCCTTCATCTTCAGTAGGTTCAAAAGCACGTTGGAACCTTTTGCTAATTGTTGACCTTCTCTGCAGACAACATCCAAACTCTGAATCTTGACTCTTCTCCGATGGACTTGGGCATGTCTGACCCAACAGCCTGGACCACCGCAATGAATAATTTAGGGATGGCTCCAATGGGAATGACAGCAGATCCCCCTTTACCTAGTAAGTACACCCCTGATCCAGAAGAGTGCAAATGGGTGAAATACAGGGATGGGCTGCTGGGGGTTTCGCAAGGGTTCGGGAGAACCTCTAGCTAAGATTCTGTGCAGTTTAGAGAACCCCCAAATCCCACTCCTGGCTGGCCCCGCCCACCCTGCCCCTCCCAGGAGTCCCCACGCGGCCCCATGCGGCCCGTTTTGGATGCAGGTAAGTTCAGGGCGTGCGTGAGGACTCGGGGAGGGCAGAAAACGGGCCTACTGGAAGTTCGGGAAGGCCGGGAACGGGTTTGCTTCTGGCATCCAGAGGGCCTCTGGAGCCTGGGGAGGCCGTTTTCGCCCTCTCAGAGGCTCGAGGAAAGCCTCTGGAGGCTGGGGAGGGCAAAAAGCTCCCCTGCATGGTGGCTGACTAGGCCACGCCCACCCAGCAACGGGGCAGAGAACCCTTTGCTAAAATTTTTGAAGCCCACCCCTGGTCAAATAACATCGTTTTTAGAGAATTGAATACACCCCAAATGAGAATTCTGCCCTGAAAGATGTAACCTTCCCTTCTCCATGAAAAATAAATATCTTTTTATAATACCCCCAAAAAATATATCAAGGGGAATATATATTTGATACTACATGTCTTGACAGCAGCAAGAATTGTATTCGCACAACACTGGAAGAATGAGGACACTCCTACAGATGAAAATAGAAAAATACTAGAATGTACAGAAATGGATAGGTTAACATTAAAGATTAAGGACAAAGAAGACACAGAATATTTTTTTAACATGGGATTTGTTTTATCAATGGAGGTAGAAATTAGAAGTTGGAAGATTATTGCTAGATATAAGTGAATATTATTATTATTATTACTATTATTATGTACAAGTAGATTGACCCAGACAATACATTGTTTACTAAGCACTTATGTATGTTAAAGAAAAATGTATAAATAAAATTAAGTAAAAATGAAAATAAATACCTTTGTGCTGACATGCTGCAGATGCACTGGTGATACTACCCATCTCCTACTCCCAATCTCATATTAATAAGGAAAACAAGTAAAAACTAAGTTATTTAGATACATACAAATTGTTCTCTGTTTTTTTTCCTACTTAGTTTCACTGCAACCCGTGACTTGGCTCAGTGGCTTAAGTTATGACAGGGGCTATTTATATGCACAAGCAGTTTTTTGTGCCTGGTTTCTTGGTGGCAGAACTATCAACTATCAAGAATCCCAGGGATTCTTATCGTAATCAATTTTTGTAATACAGATTCTAATTGGAGGGTATTGAAAATGGTGATTTGCGGAGTACCGTATTTTGATGTGCAAAAGGCTATTGTACTCCACCCAGCTTGAGCTCAAGTTTGCTTTCTTCTCTTCTTTCAAGTGGACTGGGGTTCTTGGTGCCTGGAAGTCACCTTTCCAAAGGCTTTGTTTTTGAAATAGCAAAAAGAGCAACCCATGAGAAAGTGAAAAAGAAGATGGGAGAGTAACTAAGCAAGTGTACAGCTGATCTTAGGACAACTCGCCACGGCCAGCTCGCTACAGGAGAAGAGTTATACTAATATCGAAGAAATGTTGGTATAGAACAGTGATGGCTAACCTTTTTGCCGTCGTTTGCCAAAAGCAGGGGGAGCGCATGTGCGTGTGCCCATACCCATAATTCAATGCCCCCCCCGTGCATGCGCATGTGACCCACACACACATGTGCTTGTGACTCCCCCGCTCTCCCCGCTTTTAGCACGCAATGGCAGAGGTCACCAGTGGGCCCAGTAGGCCCATTTTTCGCCCTCCACAGGCTTCAGAGGCTTTCTTGGAGCTTGGGGAGGGCGAAAACAACCTCCCCCACCCGCCTGGAGGCCCTCCAGAGGCCCAAAGTGGCCCATTTCCCAACTTCCGGTGGGCCCGGAAGGCCCGTTTTTCAACCTCCCCAGGCTCCAGATGCTTTCTTGGAGCCTGGGGAGGGCAAAAACCGCCTCCCCCACACCCCGGAGGCCCTCCGGAGGCTGGAAACGGCCTGTTTCCTGGCTCCCCTTGGGCCCGGAAGGCTAAAAAATCAGTTGGCCGGTGCACTCATTCGTGCTGGAGCTGAGCTAGGGCAACGCTCGCGTGCTCCGTGTGCCACCTGTGGCACGTGTGTTATAGGTTCGTCATCACGGGTATAGAATCATTAAAGGATGCCGAAGGAGGGACAAAATGAAATGTGAATGACAAAAAGTAAATTGAATTGTTGGGAGTGGTGCGGTGGCCTAGAGGTGGAGCTCTCACCTCTCTGGGAAATACTGAAAATATATCTGCTGAACAAAACTCTGCATTGGCGACAGGAAGGGCATCCGGCCAGTAAACACTCTGCTAGCTCCATTCAGTTGCCCAGACTCCGCCCTGCAAGGGATTATGGGGCTGTTAAAAGAAGAAGATGATGATGATGGTGATGATGATGATGATGATGATGATGATGATGATGAATTAAATTGAATTGTTGAATTGTCCCGGGGCGAGTTGGTTGCAGCGAGTTGTCCCGTTCTGGCGTTCAGCATGTTGGCATCCTTCAGCTTTCAATTTATTTATTTATTTATTTATTTTCTATACCGCCTTTCTCCCGTAGGACGGTGTACAGCCAAGAAAAATATAGACACACAAACATCATAAAATTGCTAATTAAAATTATTACTTAGTTTGGCCAATTAAATAAAACCCAGAATTAGATAACATTTTAAAAAATCATTCACATGTTCATATGTTTAGCCCTGCCTGTTGGAACATCAGGGTCTTGAGGGCACGGCGGAAAGCACAGAGATCAGGGATATTCCGTATCTCCGGGGGCAGTTCATTCCAAAGGGTTGGAGTCCTCACAGAGAAGGCCCTCCCCCTGGGAATCGCCAGTTGGCATAATTTGACTGACGGTACCCTGAGTAGTCCCTCCCTGTGAGAACGAACTGGTCGGTGGGAGGCTATTGGTGGCAAAAGATGGTCTCGTAGGTACCCAGGTCCTAAGCCATGGAGCGCTTTAAAGGTGATAACTCACACCTTGAATTTTAGCCACACAGCAGGAAGAAAGGATGGAGGGCAACTTGAGAAGTGACGAGGCAAGCTGTGGATGCTTCCTCTTCCAGATCTCCTACTCTTTCCAAACCAAAAGAGCCCGTTTCGTGAGATGGATTCCATGCTGACAAACAAGCTCCACTTTTCTAAGCGCGTCGCCTTAGGAATCTCTCACAATCTTGGGCCTCTTGATGCGTAACGGGTGCGTAAATCCGTTTGGAATCTTTATTGGGATTCTTGTGCGCTTAATGTCTGATATCTTTATGTCTTTCAGACTTCGACCCGGCCCTTGGAATGATGACGGGTATCCCGCCGATTAATCCACTGATGCCTGGCTTGGGAATCGTGCCACCGCCCATACTGTCCGATATGCCGATGGCCAAGGAGATTGTTCACTGCAAAAGCTGCACGCTCTTTCCACCTAACCCTAGTGAGCCTTGCCTGAATGCTTGTGACCGCCCTGGAGGGCTGTGGGAAATCCTTGGAATTAGGAAATCACCCACTGCTGTTGCCTGGGTCTAACGGTAGATCAAGGGGAGGCTTGCAGTGTTGCAGAGATCTGGTTTCAGAGATCTTTGAAGGAGGTGGGAGGTGATAGAATCAAGTTGACCAGCTGCAGAAATGTTGCATAAGGGAATTTTTTTTTAATGTACGCCTTTGTTTTTTTAATAAAAGCCTGTTTACCTGCCCTGTCCTGTATATTAAGGGCTGAAGGGCTTGAAATAAAACCAGTGTTAATCTGGATGCTGCAATTGTGACCTTTAAGTATGTCAAAATGATGCTTTGCCACACTGACAGTTGCTTAGCTTGCAAAATGTTGTGGACAAAGAGGAACTTAAAAGTACGTGTAAAAAAAATAGCCATGTTGTAACATTTAGGTTGGAGGAATGGACCACTGGCTCTGCTGCTATGCTCAATGGCAGAATCTTGAAAGTCTTGTTAGAATAGAATAGAATAGAATAGAATAGAATAGAATAGAATAGAATAGAATAGAATAGAATAGAATAGAATAGAATAGAATAGAATAGAATAGAACATGAGTGGAGTGGAGTGGAGTGGAGTGGAGTGGAGTGGAGTGGAATGGAATGGAATGGAATGGAATGAATAGAATAGAATAGAATAGAATAGAATAGAATAGAATAGAATAGAATAGAATAGAATAGAATAGAATAGAATAGAATAGAATAGAATAGAATTCTTTATTGGCCAAGTGTGATTGGACACACAAAGAATTTGTCTTGGTGCATATGCTCTCAGTGTACATAAAAGATACATTCGCCGAGAATCATAAGGTACTACACTTAATGATAGTCATGGGGAACAAATAAGCAATCAAAACATATTAGGAAACAGTCAATATAAATCGTAAGGATGCCAGCAACAAGTTACAGTCATACAGTCATAAGTGGGAGGAGATGGGTGATAAGAATGATGAGAAGATTAATAGTAATAGTTATGCAGGCTTAGTGAATAGTTTGACAGTCTTGAGGGAATTAGTTGTTAAGCAGAGTGATGACATTTGGGAAAAAACTGTTCTTGCCTCTCATTGTTCTGGTGTGCCCAGCGTCGTTTTGAGGGTAGGAGTTGAAACAATTTATGTCCAGGATGCGAGGGGTCTGTAGATATTTTCACAGCCCTCTTTTTGACTCGTGCAGTATGCAGGTCCTCAATGGAAGGCAGGTTGGTAGCCATTGTTTTTTTTCTGCAGTTCTAATTATCCTCTGAAGTCTGTGTCTGTCTTGTTGGGTTGCAGAGCCAAACCAGACAGTTATGGAGGTGCAGATGACAGACTCAGTGATGACATTGTTTTTGTGGTTTTAAGGTATATAATGAAATGTTGAATAATGGGAGATGGCCAATCAGCTTCAAGCCGTCCCTTTTGACTGCTTGTCCAATTGACCCTCATTGCAACGTGATGTAAGTGCCTACAGGAAAGGCGTTGTTTGCTATGCTTTAAATTCTAATACACCTCTGGATCCTAAGTGAGATGCTTTATGGTGCGCTGTCTGTTCAATTGTTATTAAGTGCAGCTATGCTCAATAATTGAAGGACACGGTGGCTCAGTGGCTAAGACACTGAGCTTGTCAATCAGAAGGTCGGCAGTTCAGCAGTTTGAATCCCTAGTGCCGTGTAACGGGGTGAGTTCCCGTTATTTGTCCCAGCTTCTGCCAACCTAGCAGTTTGAAAGCACATAAAAAAAGCAAGTAGAAAAATAGGGACCACCTTTGGTAGGAAGGTAACAGCGTTCCGTGTGCCTTTAGCGTTTAGTCATGCCAGCCACATGACCACGGAGACATTGTTGGACAGCGCTGGCTCTTCGGCTTTGAAACGGAGATGAGCACCACCCCCTAGAGTCGGGAACGACTAGCACATATGTGCGAGGGGAACCTTTACCTTTTATCCTCAATAATTAGGTGTTTTTTTTCCCCTGACAGTTGTTATCTGTTTGTAAATGACGGCCTTGATCACCTTTTGCTCATGGAAAGTTTTTCTCTTGTATTTCTAGATCTTCCTCCTCCCACGACAAGGGAGAGGCCTCCTGGGTGCAAGACGGTGTTTGTTGGAGGGCTGCCAGAAAATGCGACGGAAGAGACCATCGTGGAGATTTTTGAGAAGTGCGGAGAGATCATAGCTCTTCGGAAGAGTAAAAAACACTTCTGCCATATCCGTTTTGCTGAGGAATATATGGTGGATAAAGCAGTTTATCTGTCAGGTGGCTATTTATTGTCTGCTCTTTAGGTTGTTCAGAGAAGGAACAAACTTAATTTATAATTTAGGTATTTAGAATTGCATTGGCCAGAAGCTGCCATGTCAGCTAGCTGGCATTTCCCAACTGCGCACTTACTGTATTTTTCGGAGTATAAGACGCACCTTTTTCCCCCCAAAAAGAGGATGAAAATCTGGGTGCATCTTATACTCTGAATGTAGCCCCGCCCAGCCTCTCAAATGGAGGTTTCAGAGGCTGAAAAAAAGCCTCCAAACAGAGCTTCAGAAAAAAAGCCTCTGAAAGGAAGCTTCAGAAAAAAAGCCTCTGAAAGGAAGCTTCAGAAAAAAAGCCTCTGAAACAGAGCTTCAAAAAAAAAGCCTCTGAAAGTAAGAAAAAAAAGCAAGGCACAGAGCTCACAACCAACGAACCTGTTGATAAAATTCACCTCTGGGAACAGCTGATTGGGGGTATTCCAAGAGGCCCATCCACCCACCAATCAGCTTTTTTCTTATTTTTCTCCCCCAAAACTAAGGTGGGTCTTATACTCCAAAAAATACGGTATATTTTTTCTGATCCCAACTGTATAAATAAGAAGTAGTTTCATAGTAACATTCTTTTCTAAATCTGGATGTTCATGCAGCTATTCCATCTTTCCCGCCTTAGTATCTTTTGGGGGGAAAGGGACAACGTTTGTAGAAAAACCACAATAAACCTACAAAAACTGTAGGTAAATTCTGTGAATAATTGTGCAGCTGGACAACAGGCAGCTCTCGGGAAGCGTCTGGCCAAAAGTATGTTATATAGATGATTGTGAAACTCAGATTGGGATGGAACTTAACATAAATATAAACACAAAATGAAGTGAGGTCAGACAGTATTTCATGTGGCTATGATGTGGAGCCATATCTGTGGGCATGCAAGCATTGCCCTAGCTCAGCTCCATGCACACACTGGCCAGCTGATTTTTGGGCTTCCAGGCCCACCGGAAGTCAGGAAACGGGACATTTCTGGCCTCCGGGGGTGTGGGGAGGCCGTTTTTGCCCTCCCCAGGCTCCAAGAAAGCCTCTGGAGCCTGGAGAGGGTGAAAAACAGGCCTTCCGGGCCCACCGGAAGTCGGGAAACGGGCCGCTTCCGGCCTCCGGAGAGCCTCCAGGCGGGTGGGGGAGGCCGTTTTTGCCCTCCCCAGGCTCCAAGAAAGTCTCTAGACCCTGGGGAGGGCGAAAACCTCTCTCCTCTCTCCTCTCTCTCAGGCCAGGTGAGGAGTGACTGGAAGGGGAGAGCGACGGGTGGGGACAGCCAGTGGTGGGTTCAGCAGAGGGACGAAAGAGCCGCATGCGGCTCTGGAGCCACTGGTTGCTGACACCCATTGTAAGCATTGAGAGGCCAAGAAGAATCGATCTGCTGCCTGGCCCCGCCAGAGGCTTCATGAATTTGTCCCCACCAGGTTATCGCATCCGGCTGGGTTCCAGCACCGACAAAAAGGATAAGGGACGCCTCCATGTGGATTTTGCTGAAGCCCGGGACGATCTGTACGAGTGGGAATGCAAGCAGCGGATGCTGGCCAGAGAAGAGCGCCATCGCAAGAGGAAGACGGAAGAGCGGTTCCTCCCGCCCTCCCCACCTCCCGTGGTGAACTATTCAGATTATGAGTGCAGCCTGGTGGTTGAGAAGCTAAAAGGTATTTGGGAATACTTTTCATTGGGAAAGAGATCATGAAAGCATAAGCACTGTCCATGTAGCAAAGGGTGATTGACCTATCGTAAATCTTCAGTGAACTTCCGTTGACTGGTTCACACAACCTATTATAGATAGTTCTTGACTTCTTTCTTTCAAGTTTTTTTATTTTATATTATTTATACATACCAAGGCATGAATAGTTGTTGTGGCCCACCAGCAGCCAGCGGAACTGGTAGTAGATTCGGACAGTGAGGAGGTTGGGGAGGATCATGGGCCAGTCCTGGAGTCTGGGGAAGGTTCTCATGAGGGCTCTGCATCGGAGGCAGAGAGGAGGCCAGGGCCGTATGCCAGTTATCAGATAGATAGATAGATAGATAGATAGATAGATAGATAGATAGATAGATAGGAGAGAGAGAGTAGATAGATAGATAGATAGATAGATAGATAGATAGATAGATAGATAGGAGAGAGAGAGTAGATAGATAGATAGATAGATAGATAGATAGATAGATAGATAGATAGATAGAAGAGAGAGAGAGAAGAGAGATAGATGAGATAGATAATAATAATAACAACAACAACAACAACAACTTTATTGTCATTGTACATGTATACACACTATACCCATACAACGAAATTCACTTAATACCCAAAGACCAGGTCCAACACACATAACAAACAGCAAACATAAAGATAGGTAGGTAGGTAGGTAGGTAGGTAGGTAGGTAGGTAGATAGATAGATAGATAGATAGATGATAGATAGATAGATAGATAGATAGATAGATAGATAGATAGATAGATGATAGATAGATAAAAAGAATAAAATTCTTTATTGGCCAAGTGTGATTGGACACACAAGGAATTTGTCTTTGGTGCATATGCTCTCAGTGTACATAAAAAGACAAGATAACATTCGGTAAGAATCATAAGGTACAACACTTAATGATAGTCATAGGGTACAAATAAGCAATCAAATCATACTAGGAAACAATATAAATCGTAAGGATACAAGCAACAAGATTACAGTCATACAGTCATAAGTGGGAGGAGATGGGTGATAGGAACAATGAGAAGATTAATAGTAGTGCAGACTTAGTGAATAGTTTGACAGTGTTGAGGGAATTATTTGTTTAGCAGAGTGATGGCGTTCGGAAAAAAAATGTTCCTGTGTCTAGTTGTTCTGGTGTGCAGTGCTCTATAGCGTCGTTTTGAGGGTAGGAGTTGAAACAGTTTATGTCCAGGATGCGAGGGGTCTGTAGATATTTTCACTGATGGGGTGCACCTCCTCATCCAACTTTGCGTTTTGCTTGGAGTGGACGGTTCCACCTCATTCTGCCCTCCACGAGAAATCTCTTCCTTGGTTGTGCTTTTTAAAATATCTCCTGGCACGGCTTTAATCCACGTGCCCAGCCCACAAGGGGCGCTCTTGTAACCCAACTGGGATTGTTTTTTTCCCCTCTCCCTTCAGTGGATGCCAAGTTTTTGGAAGCCGTTCAGACGTTGCTGGCTTGGTTGGAGAGGGGGGAAGTGAATCGGCGGACGGCCAACAGCTTCTACACCATGGTCCAATCGGTCAACAGCCACATTCGCCGGCTGATGAATGAAAAAGCGGCCCACGATAAGGAAATGGAGGAAGCTAAGGAGAAATTCAAACTGGCTCTGTCTGGGATTCTTGCTCAGTGTAAGTGCCAGGGGACTCTTTGCAACGCTGGGGGCTTTGCTCAGCCTGCAAAACGTGGGCATTTCCCTGTTTACATTTCCCACTGAAGGGGAGACAGAACCAGAGGAGATCTTAAAATATGCCTTTACCTGCTTAGGGAAGGCGTTTAGATCCATCTGTTGTGCATGTCTTAAGAGATCCCACCATTCTAAGAAAGAGATACCGTGTTTCCCTGAAAATAAGATCGGGTCTTATATTAATTTTTGCTCCAAAAGACTCATTAGGCCTTATTTTCGGGTTAGGTCTTATTTTGGGGAAAATATGGTACTAAATGCATCCATCTGGCTGACAGTCTTAACTGGGGCTTATTGGGGCTTAACGTAGGGCTTATATTACGAGCATCCTGAAAAATGCTAGGACTTATTTTCCAGTTGGGTCTTATTTTGGGGGTTAGGGTTAGGGAAACAGGGTAGATACATGGAGTATGTTCCTGAGCCCAGTCTTTCTCCCTCCTTCACCTTCCCAATTTTTGATGGGTAAGGAAAAAAAGCAGCTCTAAGTCCAAATTCTCCACCATTCGGAGTAAGGAATATGTAGGTTGCAGAATCTGAGCCCTTCCTTCCTTCTGGTGATGATGAGGTGACCTCACTCCTTTGCCACTGAGGCCGGAAGCGACGGCTGATTCCAGAACTAAGGTACGTGAAGGCCATGTTCTGCAGGCAATTATTGGCTTTCGAAGGCAGGTACCAAGGGTCAGCAAAGGTCAGATGGACTTCCAAGCCATGATTCATCCCATCGGAAGGCCAGCTACAAAGAGTCCTCGACATACAACCAACTGAGCGCAACATTTTCTATGCTAAGCGAGACATTTCTTAAGTGAATCTCACCCCGTCGTACAACTTTTCTTGCCCACCGTCGTTAAGCGAATCGCTACGGTTGTCAAGTTAGTCACACGGTTGTTAAGTGAAGCCAGCTTCTCCGCTGACTTGGCTTGTCAGAAGGCCGCCAAAGGGGGTTTCACCTGACCCCACCACTCCCATCCCCGGGGAACCCTGCAACCGTCGTAAATAAGAGTCGGTGGTCGAGCATCCTGAATTTCGATCACGTGACCATGGGGAATGCTGCAGCGGTTGTTAAGTGTGGAAAACCGGTCACGAGTCACTTTTCTCGGTACCGTTGTAACTGCGAACGGTTGTAAGTTGAGGACTCTCTGTGCTGTTTTCTGCAGCAGGCAGGTCATGCCACTGACCACTTCTGGAAGGCAGCTCCGTTTTTTGCCAGACGAATTTCTGGGTAATTGGAGGGAAGAGGCTTAAGGTGAATTATGCCTCTCCCCACCCCCTACCCCCAATCTGTCTCAGCTCTGTTTTCTGCCTTAGTGATGGGGCTTCCTACAATCCTCCCTAACATTTTGCTGATTGGAAAGGAGCTTAGGTAACCAAGGTAGGTGGCTAGCCCAGTCCTCCTTCCCATCCACTATTCCTTTCACTTGAAGATCTGCAGGTCATTTTTCTAATTGACAGGTTTGAGACTTCCAGGTAATGTAATTCTGCTGTATTCCTCCCCTCACTCCTTTTCCATGTTCCGAAATCCTATTCTGGTCCTTTGATGCTTTCTCCACCCTTGGCGATGCTGTGCGGTTTTCACTCCCCTGTTTCTCCTCAGAATCCATTCCCAAGATCTACAGAGAAATGGCTACAGCCCTCCATTCAAAGCTCAAGGCCCTCCCCTGACGAGATAGTTCCTTGGATAACATTATAGGCTAGTCCAGGCCTGTCAAACTCAAGGCTTAGGGGCCGGATGTGGCCTGCGAGATGCTTAGATCTGGCCTGTGGGTCCACCCTAGAAATAGTGAAGGACCGGCCCACGGTGCCTCTGCCAGCGAAAATGGAGCTCGGGAGAGCCTCATGCAGCTCTCCCAGGCTCTGTTTTCAGCCCCAACAGCCTCCTGCAGCCTTCTGCCAGCAAAAACAGAGCTCGGGAAGGCCGCCTGCAGAGGGCTGCGGGAGGATTCCACCACAGGTGCCCCCGACACGAGTGACGTCAAACTGGCCGTACCTCCCCTCCCAGCCCCCACCCCCCCGAGGTCATACAACCCTGATGCGGCTCTCAATGAAATCAAGTTTATACTCCTAGGCTAGTCCCAGAGTTGGTCTCTGACAGAAAACCACTTGAAGAAACTAGAAGCATTTGAAATGTGGATTTACAGACAGCCATTATGTATAAGCAGGGGTAACAAAATCACAAATGAGGAGGTGATAAGCCGCCTGGGAAACCTAAGGGAAATCATCAAGGTGATGATGGGAGCGACATGGCGCTCCCACGTGACACCTCTCCTGCGCGACCTGCATTGGCTTCCAGTGGTCTTCCGGGTGCGCTTCAAGGTATTGGTTCTCATCTTTAAAGCGCTCCATGGCTTAGGGCCCGGTTATTTACCAGACCACCTTCTGCCACCGATAACCTCCCACCGGCCAATACGCTCCCACAGAGAGGGCCTCCTCAGGGTGCCGTCGGTCAGGCAATGTCGGCTGGCGACCCCCCGGGGAAGAGCCTTCTCTGTGGGGGCACCCACCCTCTGGAATGAGCTACCCCCAGGGATATGACTGATCCCGGACCTCCGGACCTTCCGCCGGGCCCTGAAGACTTTTTTATTTCAGCAAGCCGGGCTGGGTTAAAAATCTTTTAATTGGGGAATTTTATGGGTAAGGGGTTTTAAATTGGGGAAGCCAAAGATACATTTAATTTCATTTTTATAGTATTTTAATGTTTGCATTGTGTGTTTTTAATTTTGGCTGTTCACCGCCCCGAGTCCTTCGGGAGAGGGGGCGGTATAAAAATTTAAAAAATAAAATAAATAAATAAATAATACAAAGCCATTAAATAGCAAAAGTTAGAATATTCCGGGCATGTGGTGCGACACCCAGAAAAATACGGCATCTTTCACTTCATCCTCCAGGGAAAGGTTGAAGGCAAACAAGGTCCAAGCAGAAGAACATCATGGCTTCAAAATCTAAGGAACCGGTTTGGACAAAATTCAGCAGCACTTTTTCATGCGGCTGTTGACAAAAACAGGATTGCCAACATGATCGCCAACGTCCGATGACGGATATGGCACAAGAAGAAAACAAAGGGGCTAGTCCCTCTTTTATACAGTTGTTGGGGGAGAGGGTAAAATTAAAGGTCATAGCGGCAGGAAGGTCCCAAAATTTGATAAAGGGATGTTGGTTGGTAATGTCCCTACCATTCCAGATATGAGATCTGCTCCCAATGTTTCTTGAAGACTGATCTTCTTAGAAGTTCTACAGTTGCTTCCAACTTTCCATGATCTGATGATGAATATCATTTGGTCTGTACTAATTCAGGAGAGACTAACCTGGGCAATTCTTTAAGACTTGTGGACTTCAACTCCCAGAGTTCCTCAACCAGCCGTTGAGAAATTCTGGGAATTGAAGTCCACAAGTCTTAAAGTTTCCAAGGAGCAAAGGAGGATGTGCCCAAGTCCAGATACCCTCACTGCTCCGCTGAGGTCCCCTAGGATGGAGAGCCTTCCCCTACTCCAGGCTGCAGTGGGCTCCTCCTAACCAGAAATTGAGGAAGAAACCATTGGAGAAAAGGGAAACGTGAGACTCACCTTTACAAGGTGAGCCTCAGGCTGGCTGACTGGCAGAGCTTCAGATGAGCTGGTAGATGTAAGCCAGTGTTCCTTAACCTTAGCAGCTTTAGGAAGGGCGGACTTCAACTCCCTGCTAGAAATTACACTCTTGTGTTTTTGGTTTCCAAAATGTGGATCTGCTTTCGGCCCCCTCTTGTAGCCTTACAGGCAAAAGGATTGGCGTGGAAATGGAATAGTCATGGAGCAGGGCTTTGCGTTTGCAATCCCAGCCTTCTGCAACAGCCCCAGCGCTAATTGCGACCTTCTCTTTGCAAATGATGTGATGGCTCAGCGGGTTAAAAGACGCTGAGCTGGTCAGCTGGAGAGCCCGGGTTTGAGACCCCGAGCTCCATGCAAGGGGGTGAGCTCCCGGTCCAGCTGCCCACCTAGCAGTTCTAAAGCATGCAAGTGCGAGTAGATAAATAGGCATCATTTCGGTGGGACGGTAACAGCGTTCCGTGCGTCTTGGATGTGTGACCTGTGCTGGCCCCATGACCAGGAAAATGTCTTTGGACAACACTGGATTCCTTGACTAAGAAACAGAGATGAGCACCTTGCCCTAGAGTCAGACAGGATTGGCAGGGAAACCTTTACTTTCATCTTTGCAAAAGAGAGCTTCTTTCTGGCTAAGCAATGCTTTTTTTCCAAATTTCTTCCTTCCTTCCAGTTTTCAGAGACATCCTGTCTCCTTTTCTCTTACATTACTTTCCCTACCTTTTGCTGCCATCCTCCTCTTCCTCCCCCCTCCTTCTCTTCCATTCCTTCTCCTTCTCTTCCTCCCCCTCTTCTCTTCCTTCTCGTCCTCCCACTCCTCCTCGTCGTCCTCTTCCTCCTCGTCCTCCCACTCCTCCTCGTCCTCCTCTTCCTCCTCTTCTTCCATTCCTCCTCGTCCTCATCCTCCTCTTCCATTCCTTCTCCTCCTCTTCCTCCTCTTCCTTCCTCCTCCCCTTCTCTTTTTCCATTCCTTCTCTTCTTCCCCTTCCTTCCACTCCCCCCTCTTCTTCCTCCTTCTCCCCCTCCTCCTCATTCTCTCCCATTCCTTCTCCTTCTCTTCCTCTTCCTCCTACTTTTCTTCTTCCATTCCTTCTCTTCTTCCTCCTCCTCCCCCTCTTCCTCCTTCTCCTTTCCTCCTCCTTTTCCATTCCTCCTCCTTTTCTTCCTCCTCCCCTTCTCTTCTTCCATTCCTTCTCTTCTTCCTCCCCTTCCTCCCCTCTTCTCTTCCTCCTCCTCCTCCTCCTCCTCTTCCATTCCTCCTCTGCTTCCTCCTCCTCTGCCATTCCTCCTCCGTAAGCCCTTTTTGGCATCTCCTCGATTGGACTGAACCCGCTCAAATCAAACCCCTACAGGTGCTCCGTGCTGCTGCTGCTTCTGCCGCTGCTGGCAACACTACCTCTGCAACGCCGGATTTTTTTTTTTCCTCCTGCAGAGCTCGGCCTTCTCTAACAACATCATTTTTTTTTTTAAAAAAAATTGCGCTTTCTTACTCCTTTACTCCTTTTTCTTGCCCCTTCCACCCCACCCCCCACACCTTTGGATGATATTGTGGCCCGGTTTTGCCTGCTGATATTTGAACCTGCAGTCGAGCAGATCGTGGCCGTGTACCATTCTGCCTGCAAACAAAAGGCCTGGGACCATTTCACGAAAGCGCAGCGTAAGAACATCAGCGTGTGGTGCAAGCAAGCTGAGGTGGGTACCTTCCAGGACGTTTCTCCTAGCTCTAGTAGCACCTCTAGGTTGGCTGACAAAAGGATGGACTTATTCAACCCTAGGCCTGCAAGGTAAGTGGCAGCGCGCACACACCCCAATAGCACTTTAGACTTATATACCGCTTTGTAGTGCTTTACAGCCCTCTCTAAGCCAGGGGTCCTCAAACTATGGCCCGCGGGCAGGATACGGCCCGCCGAAGCCATTAATCTGGCCCATGGGGGACCATGAGGATGCCCCGCCCACATCGCTTCACCTACCTGCCGGCCCCCACCCGCCTTCTGGAGGCTGAGGCCAAAAACGGGACGCGTGGAGGCCTCAGGAGGCCAAAAACGGGACAGAAAAGAAAACATCGGGAACCACAAAACCCTTCCCATGCCTGACTATTTCTTAAGAGGCCAAAAAATTAGCATATGTAGTTGAATTAAACGTTCTGTTTTCTTCTGAAGCTTTTCTTTTCTTGGATTTATCCATGGTTAGCCTACCAGGGGTTGAAAAGCTCAATAAATCACATGCCGGTGGGTGTCGCGAATTGGCGGTTGTGACACATATTCTGAATAACAGGGAGCCACAGCAGAGGGATGGAAGAGCCACATGCGGCTCCAAAGCCGCAGGTTGCTGACTCCTGACCTACCCCCCCCACCAACTGGTCCAGCCCCCCCACCAACAGTCTGAGGGACTGTGAATTGGCCCCCTGTTTAAAAAATTTGAGGACCCCTGCTCTAAGCGGTTTCCAGAGTCAGGGTATTGCCAAGCTCTGCCATTCCTTCCCCTATAGTTGGGGATTTTACACGATTCCATAAGCTAATCAATACGGCCGGGGTACAAGCATCAAGCTATACCATTGAACAGACAGATGCCGAGCTGGACATGCCATCCTCTGCATGCAGCCACTAGGGTTGTAAGTGACCTGGTTAAGTGTGTCGTGCAAGCTCTTGTTCAGTCAGTTTTGCCAAAAGTAGCACCTCTGACGAGGCCAAGTCGCAATGACAGCTGTCAACCAAAAGGCCTTTTCACCCAGCCTCAGAAGGATCAGTAAACTGTAGAGCTGGTTGCTGGGAGGGGTAAACATCTCCCAGTCTTCCAAACTACTCAGATAATCACATACAGAACGAAGACGTTGATTGCAGTCAGCAAGAATGTTCAGGTAAGTTGTCTGACAGGAAACCTGTCTCTCAGGGTGAGGCTTTATCCTGTAAGAATTCACTCTCTTTATTTCAGTTAAAGGTTCGTTGGGAATTGAAACAAAGTGAAATATGGATCCTGCCTAGAAGGGAATTAATATTCTAATACCTGCAACGTTTTCATATCTTTTTCCCCCCCCCAAAAAAATATTTGGATCTTACTGTTGTCCTTTCAAACAAGCGAAACAACCAATTCTCCTTCCCCCCCGAATGGACATTTTAATGCCATTAAAAACAAAAAAATAAAAAGCACCATGGAACATAGGCTGGAAGGGCCGAATCAGCGACAGTGGCGGATCGGCTGAGTCAAACTGGGTTGGTGTATATGCTCTTTTTCATGATGGACTATGCCCAAAGTGGCTCGTAACAAGCATTTTTTTTTTTTTAAATTCTAGGAACTCCGTAACCTTCAGAACGATGAACTGATGGACATTCGCAGAGAGGAGGCCATGGACATGTCTGATGATGAAACGGAGTCACCTGAGATCAAAGAAACGGAAGAGTCAGGTATCTATGGAACGCTTACAATATAAAAACAAAATATGGCCTAGTTCAGTGATGGCGAACCTTTTCGGCACCGAGTGCCCAAACTGGAACATGTGTGCATGTGCAGGCCGGAGTAACGGAAATCCAAAGACCAGCTGGCCAGCGCGTGCATGCCTGCTTTTCGGGCCATTTTCAGGACGTTTTTTGGGCTGTTTTTGGCCTGAAAAACGGCCAGAAAACAGCCTGATTTTGGGCCGTTTTTGGGGCTGTTTTCAGGCCGTTTTCTGGCGCTCTGGTGCCTGTGAAGACCAGCTGGCCTGAAACCAGAAGAGCAGTTGACGACAGCATGCCCTGCCCACAGAGGGGTCTAGGACTTTTCGGCTCGGTCTCTTCGCCTTGCCTGTTTTGCCCTGAGGTTTTCACCTCTGGGTTATTAGCCACAAACTTTTCTCCTCAGCTGGCCTTCCGCCAGTCTTTCGCCCCGGCACAATGGCCATAGCTACTCCCTCCCAGGCGCTTCACCACATACACAGAAGGAGTTTTCATCCTAGGTTTTTCGACACCTGGGACAGTTAGGGCCCAACAAATCAGCTAGAGAGGGAAGGAAGGAAGGAACAGCCTTAGTGAAATGGGAGGGAGAAGGAGGGGGGAACTTCCACTTTTGGCTGTTTTTTACAGCCCTCTCTAAGCGGTTTACAGAGTCAGCTTATGGCCCCCAACAATCTGGGTCCACGTTTTACCCATCTCAGAAGGATGGAAGGCTAAGTCAACCTTGAGCCTGGTGAGATTCGAACTGCCAAATTGCAGTCAGCCGAAGTAGCCTGCAGTACCGCACTCTAACCACTGTGCCACCGCGACTTAGAAGAAGACCACCTAAAAGATATTTGCACAGGGTGGAATTTTATGAGCTGAAATTTGTGATAAGGAAAACTAGCTCATCTCGGTTTTTCTGTCTTCCTCCGTCCCAGTTTTAGTTTCACAAACAGAAGCGCTGAAGGAAGAAAACAACAGCTTACGGTGCCAGCTGGACGCCTACCGAAACGAAGTCGAGCTCTTGAAGCAGGAGCAGGGCAGAGCGGGACGAGAAGATGACCTCAGCCAGGATCAGCAGCAGCTGAAAATCCTCCAGCAGACTTTACAAGGAATGCAGCAGGTGGGGAAGGGGAGTGGGGAGGCGGAGCTTGTCAGAGTTCGTTGCAGCACACACAATCAGACAATTAAGCAGGATTCATTAACTTTTCTCTTTATATATAATATGACACACGAAGTTAGTATACAATAGCCAAAAAGCAGGTTTTTCCACGTTGTAGAGAAGAGAAATAGCGAGTACAAACACAGCACAAAATGGACAAAATGGAGAAGGCAAAATGGAGGAGAGAGAGAAGTTAGTGCCCACAAGCTTATATACAGAACAGTTAAGCCACGCCCAGGCTCCAAACTGTCTCTTATGGTCCCATGCAACAAATACTATGTTTCAGTTACCAAACAGCCCTCATTGGCTGACCTGTTACCATGTCTATCCAAACAGCCCCCATTGGCTGACCTGTTGCTATGTCTATCCAAACAGCCCCCATTGGCTGACCTGTTGCTATGCCCTATTCCAGTTAATGAATATACTGACAGAGTTCTCTTCTCTTGTCATGCTCAAATGGTTCCTCTTTGTCCTGTCCTTGGAGCACAAGCTTATCTCCTTGGGAGAGGTGTCCAGGTAATCCTCGACTTATAACAGTTCATTTAGTGACCGTTCGAAGTTACAACAACATTTTTTTTAAAAAAAGTGACAGGACTGTTTTTCACATTACGGCTATTGCCACAACCCTACGGCTATATGATGAAAATTCAGGCCCTTGGCAACTGACTCCTATTTATGACGGTTGCAGTGTCCCGGGGGTCATGTGATCCCATTTTGCGACCTTTCAACAAGCAATGGGGGAAACTAGATTCACTGAACATGTGTATTACTAAGCTGATGAGCTGAAGAAGCTTCTTGGATGAGAAGCAAAACGTCTTTAAAGAAAAATCAGACAGTCCAGCTGTCAGGGTTCCGGCAGATGCCCTAATTAAATCATGAGCCTCGAGCCAAGCTTCAAAAGAAATCCAGTTATTTATTAGGAGCTTCATGTCAGCACATTCCAGGTGAAGCCAACTCTGACCCCACGTAATTTACGCCCCAATCATGACTCTGTTTCCCCCCGTCCCCCTAGGGTGTGTCATCAATCCCATTTGCCAATGGAGCAATTTCGCGGGCTGTAGAGATCACTCCCCTCCGGCCGCTGTAGGTAACCCTGGGAGACAGCCTTGAGAGAGAGATGTCTGGAATGTACTTCTGTTTTTGGCTGCTGTGCTGCTTCGTCGGTTTCCCATCCCCCTTGCCTATGGCAACTTGAGAGTAGGCCAGGGATGCATTGCGAGTTGACACCAGTTGTCTCTTGAAAAAAGCATCTTTGCGACATTCGTATTACTAACTTTATCAACTGCAGTGATTCACTGAACAATTGTAGCAAGGAAGGTCATAAAATGGGGCAAAATTCATTTAACAACTGTCTTGCTTAGTCACAAAAATTTGGGGGTCAATTGTGATCATAAGTCAAGGATTTCCTGTAATTTATCGGAAACCTTCTTTCCCAAATAAAAGGTACAGCTGGGCTCTGCCTTTTTTTTAAGGACCAACTCAGATGACACACTGCAGTAGGCGGACACTTGAGTTCTCCCCAATTCTTCATTTAAAAAAAAAGAAGATAATTTAAAATAAAATCAAACATGGGAACGAGGAAAAGAAGGTTGAATCTTCCCAAGATGGGGCTGTACTAGATGTACCGTGTTCTCCCGAAAATGAGCCCTCCTCTGAAAATAAACCTTCCCCCGAAAATAAGCCCTCCCCGAACATATTTAAATGCATGTGCAGCCGGTCCCTGCCATTTTCTCTGGTTAGGGTTAAGGAGACAGAGCTGGAAATCAGATAAGACGGCAAGAGGATCCCCGTCTTGCTCCACACGCCCCAAAATAATAAGACCTTCCCGAAAATAAAGCCAAGCGCTTATTTCGGGGGTTCAAAAAAATATAAGACAGGATCTTGTTTTCAAGGAAACACGGTAATCATCTCTAGAGCTAAGCTTGGCCTTTGTTCTGTTTATTCGTGCATTACGTAACTTTTGCATTGTCTGGGTTGGGATTGTCTTAAATTACTACATGGCGTAGTAGTACCATAAGTAGCACATTGCTATACCGCATTTCCTTCCTCCCTTCCAGCATCTTCAGAAACTGCAGGAGGACTGTGAGAGAAGAGAGGCTGAATTGGAAAAAGCGAAAGAAGAAAAATTACAGCTTGACAAATTGCTTGAGAGACTGAAGGAAAAGGTAGAAGTTGTTCTTGGCTTAATTATGATCTCACGGCGCTGTTTCTCGACCAGTGGCAATTTTTTAAATAAGCGGACTTCAACTGCCAGAATTCCCCAGCTAACCGTTATAATCTTACAGGCTACATTTTCCATATCAAGTTTTGGACAGTGGGTTTCTCTGATTTTTTCAGGATAGGAGGCTGTCATAGATCGGTAGTAGTGTCTGCTGATGGAGCTTTAAAATAGTCTGTTACGCAATTTTTGCTGAAAACAAATAATTTTGCAATGTTCACTTCTATTCCCCTGAGATTTCAAAGAATATGATTTTAAATATATGAGCAGTAACAGCTCAGAAATCAAACATGTGGAACTTGGCAATGTATTCTGAGAAGTAGGGGAAAGGAAGGAAGGAAGGAAGGAAGGAAGGAAAGAAAGAAAAAGAAAGAAAGAAAGAAAGAAAGAAAGAAAGAAAGAAAGAGAAAGAAAGAGAAAGAAACAGAAAGAAAGAAACAGAAAGAGAAAGAAAGAAAAGAAAAAAGAAAGAAAAAAGGGAAGGAAGGAAAGGAAGGAAAGAGAGAAAGGAAGGAAGGAAAGAGGAAGGGAGAGAGGAAAGGAAAGAATGGAAGGAAGGAAGGAAGGAAAGAAAGAAAGAAAAAGAAAAAGAGAAAGAGAAACATAAAGAAAGAAAAGAAAAAAGGAAGGAAGGACGGAAAGAGAGAAAGGGAGGGAGGAAGGAAAGAGAAAGGAATGGAGGAAAGGAAAGAATGGGAAGGAAGGAAGGAAGGAAAGAGAAAGAAAGAGAAAGAAAGAAAGAAAAAAGAAAAAAGGATGGACGGAAGGAAGGAAGGAAGGGAAGGGAAAAAGGAAGGGAAGGAAGGAAAGAGAAAGGGAGGGAGGAAGGGAGGAAAGGAAAGAATAGAAAGAAAGGAAAGAAAGAAAGAAAGAAAGAAAGAAAGAAAGAAAGAAAGGGAAAAAAACCTTCAGGTCTAGATTCTATGCCAAGGAAATTTTCAGTTTGGATAAATGCAGACATTTCATATGTCTGATTATTTGAGTACAGCAACCCTTAGGTGCCTGTCAGTTACAATATTTTGTTTGACGTTTTGTATTTCCACTGGAGAATTTGGATGTTCTTCATATAAAGAAATAAATCTTGGTTTTGTCTTAGACTTAGAGCAACGTTGCTTTTTATGGCAGCTTGCCTTTTTATACAATGCTTCTCAGCGGCCTATCTCAACGAAAGGAACTCTGGGCGGCAAACAGAATTCAAATAAAATGGAAACAATTAACAAACATTACAAAAATGAAAATCCAAAGCAACCAAGTCACTACTAGTACAATTAAGAAGCGGGTCGCTGCATACATGTACTTTGAAAAAGATTAGCTGCTCTGCTAGCTTTGTTTCCTTGAATTGCCAAGTTAACGTGCTGGTAAATTCCTGATTAAACTTGGCAGCAAAGCTAAGGCTATTTGAACCATCGGGAAGGCAGAAGGATCTTGCATGAAGAATTATACACTCCGGAGGTTATAACTTTTCCTTTTTCCAACTGAATGCAGCAAGAACTGGCAGCTGGATCTGACAGAGAGAAAGACTCAACGGAAGCTAAAGATCAAGTCGTAAGTTGTCTCCTGAACATTATCCATGATAGTACTTGCTCTTTGCATTGCGACTCCATTGCACCTGATATATTTATTTGTTATTCCATGTGACACAAAATGAGAATTTCAACTGGGAGTGAAGTATGATCCCCCAGCCTACTTTTTAAGTAATGTCATTTAAGTTAATTGACTGTGGCAGTATAGTTATTCCAATGTCTGCAGAGCAGTTAAAAAAATCAATGTGTTGTTAAGAGACAAATCTTGGGCAATATATTGATTACTCTCTGAGCTTGATCGTTTGCTTGCAGACATTATCAGCACTGATGATGTTACCAAGTTACCTGACTTGGTAACATCATCAGTGCTACTGAGAATGGAGTTTGCTCCCTGTTTATATACAATAGTTTGCCCTTTTTGTATTGCTGGGGGTGTGGTTTTCTGCTTAGTAGGTCCTTCATTGGGATACTGTTTTCGGTTTTCTATTTGCTTGTTTGTCTGGTGTTAATCCCTGTTTATCTGGATATTGACTGTTGACAGAAACTCTTTTGTTGATCCCCTTAATTCCTTTTAGGACAGTGACTTGTCAAGCATTTGCTCAAAGAGTCCAGAGAAGGAAAGACTGCTTGAGAAAGGACTTCACTGCAACCCTTTAAGATTGGAAAGGGAAGCTTTACTAGTGGGTAAGGATTTCTGAGCTGCAGGATCCTTGAGGTTTAGATTTAAATTAGGACCATCGGAAGCTGCCTTGCATAAGGCACCATTTAGTTAACTCCGAGAGGTCCACACACTAAGAGATCCTCCCAGGTTTCCTGTGGAGCTGGGCTATTTCTCTTTGGGCCTGAATCTGATCAAACATATCCTGAAAGCAAAGCCTGTGGAACCACACCTAGAGTACTGTATCCAGTTTTGGTCACCACACTATAAAAAAGTTGTTGAGACTCTAGAAAGAGTGCAGAGAAGAGCAACCGAGATGATGAGGGGACTGGAGGCTAAAACATACGATGAACGGTTGCAGGAACTGGGCATGGTTAGTCTAGTGAAGAGAAGGACCAGGGGAGACAGGATAGCAGTCTTCCAGTATTTGAGGGGCTGTCACAGAGAGGAGGGGGTCAAGCTGTTTTCCAAAGCACCCGAAGGCCAGACAAGGAATAATGGATGGAAACTGAACAAGGAGAGATTCAACTTGAAAAATAAGGAGAAATTTTCTGACAGTGAGAACAATCAACCAATAGAACAGCTCGCTTTCAGAAGTTGTGGGAGCTTCATCACTGGAGGCTTTCAAGAAGAGACTGGACTGCCATTTGTCAGGATGGTGTAGGGTCTCCTGCGTGGGCAGTGGGTTGGACTAGATGACCTACAAGGTCCCTTCCAACTCTGTTAATCTGAACCCCATTTTGTTCCAGCTATAGAACAAGACAGGTTGCTCATGTTTCAGTCCTGGCCCCGATCATCTTAAAACAGCTATTCTGTGTACAGAATGGCTTATGACCACAACCTTTCCTACTTTGCATTCCAAAATACGGAGCGGCTCTTATAAGAAATTAAGGTGTGTTCTGTGCTGGCATCCCCATCTCTTGGGAGTAACACCCTCCCCGATTTTTTTTTTTTAGGGATCATCTCAACATTTCTGCACGTTCATCCTTTTGGGGCCAGCATTGAATACATCTGTTCCTACCTCCAGCGCCTAGACAGTAAGGTAGGTATATTAAAATGTAAACTTATAGGTGATCTTGGCCAACTTTAAATGCATCTCAAGCTTTTGCTACCCAAACAGCCTTTTCTGCTTTTAGACTGCCTCTTTTCCTTTGAGTGGTTCATCTTGAGCCAAGTACAGGTAGTCCTCGACTTAACGACCACCATGGAGCCCAAAATTTATGTCGCTAAGCGAGACAGTTGTTAAGTGAATGTTGCCCCATTTTACGACCTTTCTTGCCACAGTTGTTAAGGGAATCACTGCAGTGGTTAAGTTGGTAGCACGGTTGTTAAGTGTTGTGACCCAGGCCCACGTAGTTGATATTAAATGCAAACAGTTCCAAAAAACAGATTTTATTAAAACAGCTGAGAATTAACTCATTCTCAGCGTATTCCAAATTAAATGAAAGCATCATGTATACAATGAAATTGGTTAAAATCTTCAAAAGGCAAAAGGAAAAGTAATTTATTGTCTTAACATGGCAATCAACTTAACCAGATGCTTTTGATGGCAGTTTTACCAACCCAAATGTTGAGGGGTTATCCCTGTTCATTCGTTTTAGTGACATGCCACTTTTTTTTTTGTAGATTTGCGCCACTGAAGTGGAAAACCTCATGACACGACTCCAGCATACTTTCAAACAAGAGATGAATGGGGTTGGAGCCAGTCTAGAGAAGAGATGGAAATTTTGTGGTTTTGAAGGATTGAAGACTATCACCTGAACCTGAAGCCAGGAATCCTTTGAACTCTTAACAGAATGTGCAATATTTGCAGTACGCATAGATACGAGTTTCCTTTTGGGAAAGCCAGTCCTTGAACTGCATCAAGAAAATTGGGGGCCAGTTTTTAAGGACTGTAAGGTTGTGGTTCTTATTTTTTTTGTTTTGTTCATTACGCTAACGAGCCTTTTTTCAAAGGACTATCATGCACAATTTTGGGTTGATACCGACCCTGTCTTTTGGATCTTTGATACTTTTTACAACTCCCATTGGCTAAAAACATTTTAATAGTTTCTTTGAACATGACAGACTCAGGCCTCTGTTTAATGTTTTTACCATTGAGAGCAGCTAAAAGAAAATCAATACAATAAAATAAAATATTCAATGGCATTGGAGACATTTCTTTTCTGGCCTCTCACATCGTTTCATAATATAGAGATGCTCAATATTTAGAAGCAGAAAATGATGCAACATTGCAACAAGAATGTGTCGTGCGGAATCGGTGTTGTTGGAAGAAATATCCATCTGGTTCAGTTCCAAGTGGGGAAAAAGACACTGGAAACACGGAGGCTGATTGGAAAAATGGTTTATTGATGAACAGAACCACATGGGTTTGAGGTCCTGGCAGCTGACCAATTGATTTGGTCAATACATGGATTTTTATACAGTTTGTTCTACAGCATTTTGTAATTTAGAGGCTTGTTATGTGTATTTTGTTATTTGATTTTAATTAGTTTGTCTCAGGAAAGCAATGAGTTGGGGTTTTAAAATCTTGTTTAACAAATGTAATTAATCCTAGATGCTGGCTTCCTTGGGGTTTTAATCCTGTCTTGAATGGATTACCAAATCTGCATTTCTAAAAGTTGGCCCCTTAGATGAGGGGTCACCCAATCTTTAGGACCTCAGGGACCATTAAATTCATAATTTTAAATCCCGCGGACCACTAATATGGATTTTTTAAAAAGATAAATAGTATTTAGTGTAATATAAAGGTTAGGGTTAGGGTTCCTCTCGCAATACGTGCTAGTCGTTCCCGACTCTAGAGGGCGGTGCTCATCTCCATTTCTAAGCCGAAGAGCCAGTGCTGTCTGATGACGATTCCGTCGTCATGTGGCCAGCATGACTAAATGCCAAAGGCACACGGAATGTTATTACCTTCCCACCGAGGTGATCCCTATTTTTCTACTTGCATTTTTACATGCTTTCGAACTGCTAGGTTGGCAGAAGCTGGGGCAAGTAACGGGAGCTCACTCCGTTATGCAATGCTAGGGATTCAAATATAAAAAATGCAAATAATTTTTCTGCGGACCACCAAAATTTTCTCGCAGACCACCAGTGGTCCACATACCACCGCTTGGTGACCTCTGCCTTAGATTCTACTAACATGGGGTAGAGAGCTGAGGCTCCGAGTTTCTGTCTTTAGAAACATGTTTCTCCTTTAGGGAAAATAAAAGAAATGCCCTGGTAGGAGAAGAAACGAAAAAGAGCCCTGTAATGAGGGATCGTCCATTGCAGGGGTGAAATCCAGCAGGTTCTGACAGGTTCTGGAGAACTGGTAGCAGAAGTTTTTAGTAGTTCAGAGAACCGGCAATTGCCACCTCTGGCTGGCCCCAGAGTGGGGTGAGAATGAAGATTTTGCAATATCCTTCCCACAGGAGTGGTGGGGGGGGAATGGAGATTTTGCAGTATCCTTCACCTGGAGTGGTGAGGGAATGGGGATTTTGCCATATCCTTCCCCCAGGAGTCGGGAGGGAATGGGGATTTTGCAGTATCCTTCTGCCATGCCCACCAAGCCACGCCCACAGGACTGGTAGTAAAAAAATTTGAATTTCACCACTGGTCCATTGGAATATTAAGATATATATGTATATGTATGTATATATGTAAATGTATATATATATATATATGTGTGTGTGTGTGTGTGTGTATATGTGTGTGTGTTTACATATATACATATACATATACATATTACAAATTATTCTAAAAATACGAGTTCCAGATATATTGGTAAAAAAAGAGGCAGACATACTGCGAACTCCAGAACTTAAGATTTTAAAATTTTAAAAGAATTAAAATTTTATTTTACTAAGCTTTCGTCAGCCATCTGCTAACATTGTCAGAGTATTAAACTACCATTATATATTAATGGTATATTAATATATAATGGTATATTTATTTATTTATTTATTAAATGTATTTATATGCCGCCATTCTCCCAAAGGACTCAGGGCGATGAACACAAGTTAAGAAACAAGTACAATAAAATCATAATTTAATCCAAATAATTAATTAGTAGTAAATAATAAAGCCCGGAATCAGTCTCAGCCTATTTGTTTGAAAAGCCAAGTCTTCAAGTCCTGACGGAAGGAGCGGAGATCAGGAGCCGTCCGGAGCTCAGTAGGCAATTCATTCCAGAGGGATAATATAATGTGTGTGTGTGTGTATATATATATATATTATATATATACACACATCTCTTCTGAATCAATGGGCACAAGAAGCAGTTTTTGCCATCTTAGGTGCTGGGATTGTTTACTTAAAAGTCTGCCTGCAGGCATTTCCCAGGGCAGTTGCACGGGGGGGAGGCTTCCTTGTCTCAGTCGCGCGCGGTGACGTCACAGGAAAGCGCCTCTCCGTGCTGTAGAAAGGCAGGAAGAAACCCGTAAAAAGATGCCTCCGAAAGGGAAAGGCGGCGGCAAAGCGGCAAAAGGTGAGAGATGGGAGACCGGAGCCTCCGACTTCTTCTCTTTCCCAGTTTCTGCTTCCCACTCCTACTGGGAGAGGAGGAGCCGGCCAGTTCTGCTCGGCCAGCATGAAGCGGTCTCGCCATAAGGCGGTGGCCAGGCAAGGAATTGTGGGAGTTGTAGTTCTTGCAGAGGCCTGGAAAAGGGGCTCGCCCTGTTTAGCTGGGACAGATGCATCGCTTTTTGGTAGCATAGAATGGGAGGCATAAGCAGGTAGCTGGGATGCGCAGGGCTTCCATTTGTTCCCATCAGGGCAGCCAAAAATTCACAAAAATAGGGGAAAAAATTCACAAAATAGGGGGGGAAATTCACAAAATAGGGGGGGAAATTCACAAAATAGGGGGAAAAATTCACAAAATAGGGAAAAAAATCACAAAATGGGGGGGAAATCACAAAATACGGGGAAAAAAATCACAAAATAGGGGAAAAATCAGAAAATGGGGAAATTCACAAAATAGGGAAAAAAATTCACAAAATAGTTTTTCTCCTCTGTCAAAACTTTCCCTTTTTGGCTGGATGCTAATGAAATGGCCCTTATGGGCACGGTGCGTTGGGGTGGAAGCCCCAAAGGATGACAACAAGCATGTGTATTGTGGAAAGCCCCCCCCCCCAAACCCAACAACCCCCTGAAGAATGAAATATATGGGGAAGTATTAAAAGGAAATGGATGCAGTGGCTCAGTGGCTAAGACGTTGAGCTTGTCGATCAAAAGGTCATCAGTTCAACAGTTTGAATCCTGAGTGCCGCGTAACAGCGTGAGCTCCCGTTACTCGTCCCAGCTTCTGCCAACCTAGCAGTTCGAAAGCACATTAAAAAAATGCAAGTAGAAAAATAGGCACCACCTTTGGTGAGAAGGTAACAGCGTTCCATGCGCCTTTGGCGTTGAATCATGCCAGCCACATGACCACGGACACGTCTTCAGACAGCACTGGCTCTTCGGCTTTGAAACGGAGATGAGCACCGCCCCCTAGAGTCAGGAACGACTAGCACATATGTGTGAGGGGAACCATTACCTTTTTACCTTTAAAAAGAAACAGAATATTATATTTCCCCAAAGGAAGAAATATGCTCTTAAGGGAGGTGGAAACCAGCTTTTAGAAATGCCGATTTGGTAATCCATTCAGAAAGACTGGGTCAAGACAGAAACTCGGGTAACAAGAAACAAAAGGTTGAAAAAATTAGCTCAGACAGATACCTAGGTTTTGCATTTCCCCTTTGGCCTATAGAACCCACCATGGCGATGTCTCCTCGAATGGGGACGAAACGTTTGCAACCAAGCTCGAAGCTCAAACTAACAACATTTTCCTATTTGCTGTCTGATTCCACCAGGTGAGCCATGATAGCCTGGAGCTCAGATGCACCCAAAACATTCAGTCCAGCCCTGCCCATCCGATTCAGCAAATGGAGGCGCAAATCAGGTGAACTCTCCACCCCGATTCACTGTTGCTTCGTGTTCTTGTGTCTTTAAAGGAGGAGCATCTTCTGGTAGTGACGCAGCTGACAAGAAAGCTCAGGGGCCAAAAGGAGGTGGCAGTTCCGTGAAGGTATGTCTTCTGGTCACCCAGTTTGAGGTAGCATCCAAGGATGCCATTCCAGTCACGAACAGGTTGTGAGAGTAGAATGAGGCGTCGTTCTCTCCAAGCCAAAAATATTTCAGAGTGGGGAAAAATTCAGAAAGAAACTGGCGGAGGCCTGGATTTGCCTCCCCAAATGCTCAATATCCTAAATGTATTAATATGTTTATTTTCAGTAAGTAACATTAGAGATTAGAAATCAGTATCTTCAAATCAGTTTTGACTCCTGGCGGTGATATGGACAACTCCCTGCAAGTTTTCTGGGCAGCACTTTTTCAGAAGTGGTTTAATCATTAAATTAAATGCTATTGTCAAATAAAGCTCTGCTAATGCAAATCTCTGGTTGTTTGCTACTCAATCTCTTTATCTGAAAAATACGAAAGTGTGAATCTTAAGACTATCTGCCTTGTTTCCTGATTGCTTATTTATGCTCTATGACTATCATTAAGTGTTGTACCTTATGATTCTTGATGAATGTATCTTTTCTTTTATGTACACTGAGAGCATATGCACCAAGACAAATTCCTTGTGTATCCAATCACACTTGGCCAATAAAGAATTCTATTCTATTCTATTCTATTCTATTCTATTCTATTCTATTCTATTCGATTCTAATTCTAATTCTAATTCTAATTCTAATTCTAATTAATTCTAATTCTATGCAAAGGCATTCTTTGACAATTAGAAACCAATTACCCTGGATTAAAATGGCTTGCTTCTTAGCCTCTCACCATCCTTTGTCAACTAGCCATAAATTGGGAAACTGCACTAGAAACTATATCAAGAATTAGCCAGCAAGAGGTGAATGGTACTGTGGCTTAGTTTACCAAGTACTGAGGAAGGTAACTCTAAGAATAAAGGTAAAGGTAAAATTTCCCTATCAGTCATGTCTGACTCTAGGGAACAGTGCTAGAGTCTGGTCATTGGCCAGCATGGCTATATGGCAAAGGCACACGGAACTCTGTTACCTTCCCACCGATGTGGTACCTATTAATCTACTTGCATTTGCATGCTGTCAAACTGCTAGGTGAGAAGGAGCTGAAGCAAGAAACAGAAGCTCACCCCATTGCGCAGAACTCAGGTCTCAAACCCAGTCTGTCATCTTCTCCAGTACTCTTAAGCTAAATGTGGAAGGACCTCTCTCTATCTATCTATTATTTCTGTTTTGGGTTGGATTTTTTTATTTTTAGGTGAGGCATATTCTGTGTGAGAAACACAGCAGAGCTCTAGAAGCCTTGGAGAAAGTCAAAGCTGGAGTGCGTTTCAGTGAGGTCGCTGCGCAGTATAGTGAGGACAAAGCCAGACAAGGGGTAAGTTCTTTTTTTCTTCTCCAAAGTAGAGCAACATTTACAGAATCATTTCTTAAGATGAATAAAATGTTTTCTCCAGTTGCATGACTTATCACTTTACCTTTTCTCTTGTTTTTGCCCCAAATTTGGTTTCTAAAGTTCCTTAACTATAAGAACTGAAAGGTAAAATCAATGCATGTATATATAGAATAATCTAACAAATGAATTTATATAGAGTGAAATAGGTCATTTTCACTGCCCTTTGCATCATTCTCTTGTGCTTGTTATCCAGGGAGATCTGGGCTGGATGAGCAGAGGCTCCATGGTGGGGCCCTTCCAGGAGGCAGCGTTTGCCTTGCCCGTCAGCAGCATGGACAAACCAGTGTACACGGATCCCCCTGTTAAAACCAAGTTTGGATATCACATAATCATGGTGGAAGGGCGAAAATAATAAACGTTAAACGCTACGCCAGGAGTTTTTGACTCTTTGATTTTCTCTCTGCTTGTCAAGCGTTGTGAAAAAAGAAAGACTTGGCTTTTCTTTCAGTGTGTGTTACTGGCTCCAATATATATGACATTATTCCACATTACCGTATTTTTCGGAGTATAAGACGCTCCGGACTATAAGACGCACCTACCTTTTTTGGTGAGGAAAACAAGAAAAAGAAATCTGCCTCTGCTTCTGCTTCCCAGCAATTTTGCCTCCTTGCAGCAAACAGCCTGCTTTACTTTCAGCATAGCTTGATGAGCACAAGAAAAAAAAAATCTGCTCCCAGCAATTTATCTCCTTGCAGCAAGTAGCAGAGGCCCGTGCAGCAATAGGCAATGGCAAATCCCTGCAACCTGAAACAGCTGAGAGTCAGGAGGCCGATCCAAGGGACAATCAACTTGTGCTAATTAGGCTGTGCTGAAGCCGAAATGGGCTGTTTCTTCTTGCTGTTTGCTGCAAGGAGGTAAATTGCTGGGAGGCAGAGGCCATAGGGTGGGACCCACTGGGTGGGTGGGGCTACATTCAATGTATAAAACGCACCCAAATTTTCACCCCCTTTTAGGGGGGCAAAAGGTACGTCTTATACTCCAAAAAATACAGTATGTAGATCTCCCAGTTTGTCCTGGTTCTTTTGGGAGGTCAGTTTATACAGAAATAGTGAAGTATTTTGTTACCTGCTTGTGACACAAAATGAATATTGAGTGGCGATCTACTTCGGCTATCCAAACAAAGCAAAAGCTCAAATGTGCCCACACATTTATGTACTTACGTATGTTTGAATTTAATAAAGGAGAATATTTGTAGCTCAGGCTTGACATGAGGAGTTCTTGGTGCTCCCTGAGCTTGCTTGTTTTCTTGCAGACATTGCAAGCCTTGGTGGCGCAGCAGACTAAAGTGCTATTAAGTAGCACCAGCTTCCTGCAATTACTGCAAGTTCAAATCTCACCAGGCTCAAGGTTGACTCAGCCTTCCATCCTTTCGAGGTAGGTAAAATGAGGACCCGGATTGTGGGGGCAATAAGCTGACTTTGTATAAAAAAGAACACCGCTTGGGGGGCCCGAAAGCCCTACTAAGCAGGTATATGCAAAAGTATGAAGGCTATTGCTTAACGCATTGTAAGCCACCCTGAGTCTCCGGAGAAGGGCGGCATATAAATCGAACCAATAAATAAATAAATGACCCAAACTAGGTAACATCATCAGATAGTTTGAGTCATGAAACCTCGGCTAGCTCAGAGAGCACCAAGGACTCCTCATGTATGAATTTATCCTGCATTTTCCTTGTTGCATAGTCCTGCTTGGGGATTATTTTTCTCAGAGCAAAATAATGAAGAATGATAATAATGAAGTCCGTTGTATAGGTCAAAAATGAAGTTTATATTATGCTAAAGGTGAATCTATAGAGATTCTCAGTCATCCATGGTTGTCCCGAAGGTGCTTTTTCAGGAGGCAACTGGACTTTCTTGTTTTTTCATTTGAAGACGTTTCGCTTCTCATCCAAGAAGCTTCTTCGGCTCTGACAGGACAGTGGGGAATGGAAGGATTGATACTCCTTGAAGACAGCTGGTGATCTGCATCCTTTTTTCAGAGGGTCATTGAAGCACTTGGAGGTTTATCTGTGTCCTCAGGGTCACCTGAATGGTGCTCCTGGTTCCTATAGTCAGCATTTTTTTTCCCTCTGGAAATCCATTCCTCCTCCCACACCATTCAAAGGGTGTCCATCCCAAATTATGTAGCTAAAAGTCTGTAGATTCTGAAGTCATCCAGGTCATGGTTGTCCCAAAGGTGCTTTTTCAAGAGGCAGGTGGATTTTTCTCTCTTCTGAGGACACAGATAAATCTCCCAAGTGGCCTCAACGACTCTCTAAAAGGTTGCAAATAGAATAGAATAAGTTTGCCACTTTGAATGTACACTAATTGGCATATATTAAAAAATGAAAATTTTAAACCAGAGATATTTTTATTAGGGATTTTACCAGAAACATACAATAGAGAATTGCAATATTTAATTGTGAATGTTTTAACAGCGGCTAGAATCGTATTTGCTAAAAATTGGAAAGGAGAGAAATTACCTACTGATGATGAGGTTAATTAAGAAAATGATGGATTGTGCAGAAATGAGTAAATTGACATTTGAAATTAGAGAACAGGAAGATAAACAATATTATTTGATATGGGATTTGTTTTATCAATGGATAGATAATAAAACATGGAGATGAAATATGAAATATGAGGTTGATGTAAAGATAAAATATGTGAAGTTCTTTCTTATGAGAAATAAGCTTTTGTTATAAATTGGTATTCTGGAGATGGGATTAAGCACAAATAATGCTAACCAATCTGTCTGTAATTGTTTGGAATGATGATGGTTTTATGTTTTGTTTTTGTTTTAAAATAAAAAATCCTTTTAAAAAAAATGAAATTTCATTGCAAATGACCAACTGTCTGCAAAGCCTATCAATCCTTCCATTCCCCACTATCCTGTCAGAGCTGAAGAAGCTGCTTGGATGAGAAGCAAAACATCTTCAAAGAAAAAAAACCCAGAAAGTCCAGTTCCCTCTTAGGGGGGAAAAAAACCCAAAAAAACACCACCTTTCGGATTAAAGGTGAGTGGAGGAAAGCATTGCTGGAAAGCAGCTGATTAAGACGCGAACCAGCTACAAAATAAATTTAGGAGGAAGTGGAAGAGGTTTTCCTGGAGAATAGTAGCTAAACTGTGAACCAGTTTAAATAAATACAGACACCAATATTGGAAAATACAGCTGGGAAATAGATATTTAAATTATGAACCAGTTAAAAATTAGATTCAATACAATATGAGAATAAACTTGAAATAAATAAAATGAAGTAGTGTGGAAGTAATAAACTATAGAAGGAAATGTTGATTGTTTATGAAATGACTTTTAAGAGAGGAGGAAAATACTTTTTGTCAAGATTATGGATATTAGATGTCATTTAAGAGAAGTAAAATATAGCTTTGAGGTAATGAGTTTTAGAATTGAGGAATATATATGAAATATATATTGTTAAAATATTAAAAGATTTAGAATAGTGTTTATTGTTTAGAATTTTGGGTGTAATAGTAGAATGATAAATGTTTAGAATAAGATTTTTTTTCTTTTTTCTTTTTTCTTTTTAAGATGTAAATGGATAAAATTTGGAACAAAATTGATTGAGGGAATGTGAATAATTGTACTCATTTTATGCCGGACGTTTGCTCTAAAACGATGTATTTTATGTTTTATGTTTAAAAAAAAGAAAAAAAAATGGGGGGAAAAAAACCCCCAGAAAGTCCAGTTCCCTTTTAGGGGGGAAAAAAACCAAAAAAAAAAAAAACCACCTTTGGAATTAAAGGTGAAACCGGCCTGCAGGCTTGGAAAGGGTTAACACCTGCCCTCAATCACGTGACCCAGCTTCCATCACAAGAGGGGAAAAGTCCGCAAGTTTTTTTTTTTTTTAACTACTTTTCCTCCTGCGGGAGACGATTGGCTGAGTCCGAGGAGCCTTCCGATTGGCCGAAGGGGCGAGAGCAGGAGGCTGCGATTGGCTTGCCAAGGAGGGAACGGAGAGCTGCGATTGGCCGAAGCGAATCGTTCGGGAAGTCCGGCTGTGAATCGTGAGGGAGGAAGGAAGGAAGGAAACGAACCGGTATGGCCGGAGCGGCGGAGGTGGCGGCGGCGGCGCTGCTGGCGGTCCTGGGCTTGACCGCCGCGCTGGACAACGGGCTGGCTCGGACGCCGCCCATGGGCTGGCTGCACTGGGAGCGCTTCCTCTGCCAGACGGACTGCGAGCGGGAGCCCCGCGACTGCATCAGGTAGGCGGAGGGGATGCTGGATGCGGTCCCTTGGGGTTCAGGTTAATAAGAGTTCGGAAGGGACCTTGTAAGGTCATCTAGTCCAACCCCCCCCCTTTGCCCAAGCAGGAGACCCTACACCATTTCTGACAGGTGGAAGTTTGGGTCTCTTCTTGGAAGCTTTCCCACCACTGGGTTGGGACAAGCCTGCCTTATTCCCCCCAACCCCCAGGGGGAAGGAATATGGGACTTATAGTCCAGAAAGTGGTGGGGCTCCCTCTCGTCCAGGGCTGGAATTTGGTGGCTTCTTCCTCTTTGGAGAGTCACCTTGGACTGTGCTCCCGCTGGAAGTCGCCTTGACATTCATGGCAGACATTTGGCTTGATTTCCCTCCTTCCCTCTGCTTTACCAAACTCTGGCAGAGAAGCCCCAAAGCACTCCTCAGAATAGAATAGAATAGAATAGAATAGAATAGAATAGAATTAGAATAGAATAGAATAGAATAGAATAGAATAGAATAGAATAGAATAGAATAGAATTAGAATAGAATAGAATAGAATGTAGCGTAGAAAGAATAGAATAGAATGTAGCGTAGAATAGAACAACAGAATAGAATAAATAGAATGTAGAGTAGGGATAGAATAGAATAGAATAGAATAGAATAGAATAGAATAGAATAGAATAGAACAGAATAGAATAGAATAGAATAGAATAGAATAGAATAGAATAGAATAGAATAGAATATAGAGTAGGGATAGAATAGAATTAGAATTAGAATGTAGAGTAGAGATAGAACAGAACAGAACAGAATAGAATATAGAATGTAGAGTTGGGATGGGATGGGATAGTTATTGTCACTTTGAATGTACACTGATCGGCATACATTAAAAATGAAATTTCATTGCATACAACTCCCAAAAGGTCACCACCTCCAATATATACCACATAAACATGACTAAATAAATAAATATAAACATTATGCATCTACCCACATCTATGTTACAGTAGTGGCCAAAATTGTGAAAACCTTTTGGGGAAAATGTATTTTCTAAAACTAGCTAATAACATCATTTTTTTTTAGTAGTACCATAAAATTATCTATCAATGAAAAGATAATTTAATCAAGAATGTAATGCAATAACTTTTATGAAGGATTTGCTATTAGAATAGCAGTTACAGTATAGAAGAAAAGTGAAACATAGAAAAAACGAGATATACAAAAATGATCACCATGTCAGTTAATACTTCGTTGGGTAACCTTTAGCATGAATGACGGCCTTACAACGTCTTCCCATGGAGTGAAGCAAGTCTTTTAGTTCTGCAGCTGTTCTAATGTGAAACCAAGATTGAAGGATTGCTTCTATTAACTGGAATTTATTGCTGGGTCACTTCTGACTAACAAGTTTCTTTAGTCAGCACCATAGATTTTCAATTGGGTTAAGGTCTGGGGTACTCCCAGGCCATTCCAGCAGTGGAATAGGATTATCTTGAAAAAGATTATCTTTTTTTTTCTCACAAAAAAAAGTGGTGTTATTAGCCATGAAACCTCCAAAATACACTTTTCCCAAAAGGTTTCCACAATTTTTGCCACTACTGTATATGACATGGAGAAACAACGGTCTAATCCAGATGTATACATGTGCATGGCAAGAGAAACAAATCTTGTGAATTTACCAGATGGATGGCCAAGGGAACAAAACTGTTAAAGAGAATCAGGTAGTCCTGTTAGAAATACACTGCTCAAAAAAATAAAGGGAACACAAGCAGAAGACATCCGAGGTCTGAATGAATGAAGTAGCCTTATTAAATACTTTGTTTGTTACATACAGTAGTTTTGTGTTCCCTTTAGTTGTTTGAGCAGTGTATAAACTACTGTATGTAAAGAACAAAGTATTTAATAAGGCTATTTCATTCATTCAGTTCTCGGATGTCTTCTGCTTGTGTTCCCTTTATTTTTTTGGGCAGTATACTTCGAAACCTCCTTCCAGAGGGGAGCAACCGAAACAAACCGTGAAGTGGGTGTGGGGGGGAATCAGTAACAATGCTATGAGCTCTAAGCACATAGACCTTATAAGCAGTATCCTGCATTGCTGGATGTAGGATTAAATGTGTCAATTCAGCTCCCCTTGAAAAGGTTAATCTAGGAATGAGCTAACTGCTAATGAAAAGCAGCATGGAGCTTCCAAGGCAGGTCTCGCTTTAACTGCCTCCTTTCTAAAGTCTGAATTGTCCAAGCTTGACTGTGCTAAGTCTTTCCCCCTCAGACATACATTGGGACCCCCCTCTCTCACACACTCACACTCCTCACTCACAAAGCACACATCTTAACTAGGCTGTGTGCTTAATCCAGCCAAGGAGGAGCCCCACAAGAAAGAGTCAAGACCAAACTGTATTTCAAGTATAGTAGAAATTTGTGACATCAGTCTGTGCTCCTGCCAGGAGGGGTTGAGGCATCTTGGCTGCTTCAGATCTTCTTCAGGACACCAGTCCAGCTGGTTTGCAAAGTGATTCTCCATAGGCTCCAATGTATGTTCCTTTCTTGGGAACTTCAGTGCTTCAGCTCTTTTTCTCATAGCTCTTGTGCTTCAGTTGGTCCATCGCCAGCCTTATCTTGTCTCCAGCTCCTTCTCTCTTCTCTCCTCTCTTCTCCAGGCAGTCTGACCCACTCTGTCAGGGGTGAACCCCTTTTATTCTCTTTTCCCTCCATTCTAGCTCCCGTCTGATTGGTAGTCCAGTTTCGGACTCAACCGTTTTATTGGTCCTAAGCGCGACCATTTAATTGGCCCTGAAGTCCAGAAGCAGACCAATCCCCATTTCTGATTTTTGTACGCACCCTTTTCCCATTGGCTGAAAAGGACAGGTTTTCAAGCCTCAGCATTAATAAGAGTGAAGCATAGTTATTTTACTATCTCCTAGTTATTTTACACCAGAATAAAGCACTAGTTGAAGTAACATTGTGCTAAGATATAAGGGGCTCGTTTGGGCGTAGCCTTTGGTTTTGTGTGAACAGTCAGCCAAGTATGACATCATAGTTTCATAAAACTATTATTAAATAAACCACATTTTTTTTTACTGATTTAGCACCTTTATTTATTGTTTAGCACATTTATTCGTTTCAGCATGTTGATTCATTTGTTTTTTTTTTGGCTTTTTTAACATACATTTTTTATTTTATAAACAAACATACAATTCTTAATCAATCATACAGTGTATCATCTGAGTACATCTTTTGTACCTTCTTGTTATTCCTCCAGTATTTATCATATCTTAATTTTATCATTTCATTTATTGTGACATTACCCCCAAATTTCTTACTTTTCTATTAATACATTTATCTATCTTTTTATTTTAATAAAAAAAAATTTTTTTCAACAATTTTATCCCCAACCATCCTTCAACCCCCCCCTCCCCACACACATACCCCTCCGACTTCCCAGAGCAAAAACAGGGTATAACATTTAACAAACGTGAGCTAAAATAAACTGACTTATTACAAGATTCAAAACTCCCTCACACTCTTTAACTCCCCTTTTAAAAATTATTCATCAACCTTCCTTTTATAAATTCTGTTATCACATTTCACATTTGTTGCTAAGATCTTTTCCATACCTTCTTATCAATAAGACATTCTTCAAAATATAAATTTCAAAACTTTTTTTTTTAAAACTATCCATTAAATTTTAAATCATAGTTTCATAAAACTATTATTAAACAAACCACATTTTAATGCAGTGTATGGGGATTTATCTGAAATGATGGGTTCACAAAAAATGCTAAATCATGAAACACGGTTTAGAAATTGCAAAGACTGATTTGTACATAAAACTAAGATCCAAATAAGCAAACTTGGTCATTATCCTTTCTTGCAATTGCAGTTGGGCTGTTAGCAAGAAGAAAAAAAAATTCTTAGCAAACAAAACAATTATTACATACAGTACAAGAAAACGGAATAAAAACAAATTTACAGCAACCAACAAGAACCAGCATGTTCCTTTGGTGGCAATTATCAAGTTTTGCCTCTGAAGTTTGCAGAACCTGCCAGTAAACAATTCATACTCTAGGAAGATCTGTGACTCATTTCCTAAACTTTCAATGACTTGAGACGAGTGTCTCATGATATGTTTTTATATTGGGATGTCAATACATAAGGCCAATTACAGAACAGAAAATCATTTCCTCAAACGGCATAGAATATGATTGTTTCTAGAGAGAAAATGCTCCAGTCCCTTTTTAGCAAAGAACAGTAATAAGCCAAAGGTGGCACACAGCATCCTCTCTAATGTGAGCCATTGCTCCAGTTCAGCTCTACTGCGCGCGCCACCTGCCAGCCAGCTGGTCTTTGGGTCTCTGTCGCGCATGCGTGGAGGTGGGACGTGTGATGGGGGCCCTGCGCATGTATGCATGGAGCCCGTGCGTGCATGCATGTAGGGGCC